TTCCTCTCTGGAGGAGCATTTTCGCTCTTCCCAGGGCTTCTTGGTTGGTAGGGGTAGAGGTGGGAACGCTGTCCCTGCAGCTTCGTCAGGTGCAGTTAAGGTAGCAACAGAAATGAATCCACATGACTTCCTGTGATCCAGAATGTGGAAGCTGCTCCCCGAAGGAGTCAGCAGAGACACGGGGGACACTGCTGGTGAACTCCATTTTATCCATCTATTTATTATTTATTTATTGAGTCAGGGTCTTGCTACGTAGTCCAGGCTTGCCTTGAACTCGCTATGGAGCCCAAGTTGGCCTCAGACTTTGTGGTGATCCTCCTGCCTCAGCCTCCTAAGTGCTGGAATTATAGGTCCGTGCCACCATGCCTGGCTGCATTTTGCTTTTCAGAGATAGCCTGCGCGTGGCTCTACATGGAATGAAACGCCCAGTTCCCGCCTGCGGCTTCGTCTGAGTGGGAGCTGCCACCTAAGACCCGCTGCTAGGAGTTTGTGTGTAGGGACTGGGACCTCAGGAACATGGCCTGCCATAGCGATTTGCAGAGAAGCTCCGCATTTCAGTGTCTGCCTCAGGTCCCAGTCACCGTCAGCAAGGCCGGCTGGAGAAGGCTGGGTCCTCCTAAACATCACTGGCTGTGCCGCTTGTCTGTGAACTTCAGTGAAATTGAGGGCTCCCCGGTCTGGCGCAAAAGGGAGTCAGAGTCTTCATGCTGCCTCTGCTGTCAGCCAGGCTCTGGGGGTCCTGAGTGGATGTAGCCTTGCCTTTCAGAAGCAGCGTTAACCAGGTGTAGTGGCGAACGCCTGTAATCCCAGCTCTCAGGAGGCTGAGGCAGGAGGATTGCTGTGAGTTCGAGGCCACCCTGTGCTACACAGGGAGACCCTGTCTCCAAAAGAAAAAAAGCAGTGTTACCTTGAGTTAGTCATCAAGTCACTCTCCTCTTTCTATACAGTTTCCTGTTCTAGGCGCAAAAGGGCTGGAGTTGAATTTTTAAAAGCCTTGGTTTGTGAAATAGCTTAGTGCGACCGTGCTGCAGCTGTGCCTGACTGCTGCATCTCCAGGGCCTTTGCAAAGAGAGGCTTCCCACCTGTGGGCTGTGGGCCCACTGAGGCTGAGCTCCCAGGGCTCCCTGAGCAGCAGCCCCTTCCTGGCCCTGCAGGTCTCAGGACAGCGGGCTGCAGTTCCTCACTCCCGGAGCAACATCATTGCTGCTGCAGCGTCATTGCTGCTGCAGCGTCATTGCTGCTGCGCCTTCCCGGGGACAGTGAGGGCTGAGGCTGGCAGGTCCGACCTCGATGGAGGCCCCCACCCAGCTGACTGGGTGAGGACAGTCTGCTGTCACCAGTGGCCCTGCCTGTGCCGGTTCTACCCACGCAGGCGCTACTGCTGGCCTGGCAGTGTGGGCCTCACTTTGCAGGACACCATGAGGGATTTCGCCATGCGTGGGCAACGAAACAGGGCTCCCTGTTTCTGCAAGGGAAACAGATAAATTCCCCATATGTGAATTAAAAGCAGAGGCGAGGGCCGGGCATTTAGCTCAGTGGTTCTGCTGCCTGCCTCACAAGCACAAGGACCCGAGTTCGATCCCCAGTACCAAAAAAACCCCAAAAAACCAGAAGCGGAGATGAAAGACCTTAGCAATTCTTCTCCATATGTTGAAGCTCATACGTGCTTTGGGCCGGAATTTTGAAAGAGTTCTTTGCTACTTCTGTCAGAACCACTGGATGCTCTATTGATTTGCAACCATATGGCTTTAAAAAAACCTTTCTTTTCAAAATCTTAAGAGGAGAAAGGAACTTGGAAAGGTCCCTGATTTTGTTGCCGTGGGACAGGAATATTTCAGATAGGCAGGGGCTCTGGGGACAAGGTCCCGACACCTACCAGGTCCCATTTGTAATGATTATCAGGAATTGTTACAAACACTTTCCTGTTTAACCCAGAGAAACCTGAATTTAATCAACAAATGAGTCTTCAAACACAAAAGTTTGAAAAGAGAAACTGTCTTTATTCAACAAGCATAATTACATCCACCGGTTCTTAGGAGAATTCGAACCTCAGACCAGGCATCGGACATTAACAAGGCAGGTGGACGATATCCAGGTCTTTGAATATGAAAAATACTAAAAAGTTTTCCTTGTGAGCTCGGAATTTCAAAGAGAATCTCTTTGGAAAGTTGGCAAATACTTTCCTGGCACGAGGACTGGTTTTTTTGGTTTTCGTTGTTTTCCTTTTCCCCTCCATGCAAAGCCATGGCAGGGTGGAGTATATGTCCATGAAATTGCATGTTTCCAAAATAGGATTCACGGTTATATTTTACTGCTGGTATAATTGAATCTTGAATCAAAACTGAGTAGAACCCAAGCATTCTAAAAATAGAATTTCGGCTCATATTCCTGACTCTCTTCTTCACATGGGATATGCTCTTTATATTTTATGAAAGTGCTTTTTGTGTAGAAGTGTCTCAGCCAACCCACTTCCACGGCAGCCTGAATTTTGCCCTTGGTGCTGCAAACTTCTGTAGTCAGAGTCAAAGTCAGTCTCATGTGGCAAGATCTCTGTGTCGTTACTGCCGCCCACAGCCCCTTGTCGTCTGGGAGGCTTCCAGGAGAGCGCTCGGCTTTCTTCAGCTCCTGAGTTTCTGTCCCTGAGCACTCCACGGCCAGGAGCTCTGCAGAAGGGAACGGGACTCACCGTGCCCTGGGTTAGGCTGGATCTGGAATAGAGCTTTGCTCGGTGTTGGAGGTGAAAGTTAGGGGCAGCCAGCTAAGGAAAACTGGAGCTCTCATTCTGGCAGAGCCTGTGGGGTAGTTGATGGAGGTCTATCTCTGAAGGAGTCCGCTGATAAATGAACAATCATTGGTGACCACTTCACCTCCAACGTGATGTATAAAAAGGCTGTGGCTGGGATAAGCTCTTGCCAGGTTTTATTCCTGGGCCCTTGAGCTCTGAACCCTGAGGTGGTGCACTGTGGAAATCTGGTGGCAGTGGTCCCGAAGGGGCTGTGCAGCTCCGAACGGCAGAGGCTGCCTTAGCTTTCTCCAGATCCCCCCAACAGCCAGCAGACCTCAGCTCCCAGGAAGGGCTTCACAAAAACAACACACGCTGTATTATATCCACCATCTCCCGGCCTCATAGAGCAGAAAATAAGTGGAAAATACCCAGGATGGGAAGGAACGATGTCGCATAGAAAAGACGCGAGCACCACAGGGTTGCTAGGATGAGGTGATGGTTCACCTCGAGATTTCTGGCCTTGAGATTTTGTTTTCTGGGGTGTTGAGTGTTGAGACCCCTGTTACACACCTTTCTGAGGAGGCTTTATGCTTCCTTCCAGTCGTGGGATTCCTCTTTTGGAGTCTTTTTTTTTTTTGGTACCGGGGATCGAACTCAGGTCCTTGCACTTGCAAGGCAGGTGGCGGCTCTTTTGGATTCTTGCAGGGTTTTTGTTTGTTTGTTTGAGAAATCCTTTGACCTCATGGAGGAAAAGCCCAGTGGGACCCTCAGGCAGTGTCCAGGAAGAAGTGAACACTTTTCTTGTCGGCCTTTTGTTCTCATTCCCCCCATTTTGAAAGTAGGGTCTTCAGATGCGAAGCGGCTCACCTTCAAGGATGTACTAGCTTTCTAGGTAAACTCTTGGAACTTAAAAGAGGTTTTTGTGGGGACCTAGCCGCTTAGAGGAACCATGGACCAAAGGTCGTGATGGTGAAATCAGAGTTGCCTGTGGCACAGAGGGGATACCGGCCTCTGGAAGCCAGTGGGGACATTTGTCAGACTCAATCATTAATGTGATCCAGCGATGGGTACAGGAAGTAAGATGACTGATCAACAGGGGACCTTGGAAAGTGATTATGAATTTGTCAGATGGAAGACCAGGTAAGGGTAGGAGAAGAAGGTTATTTTTCTATTCCCTACTAAGTTTCATTAACATGGATTTTTAGGTGACTCCCAGTATTTGCCCTTCTGATGTGAGTCTGGGTTTTTTCACTGAGGATTGACGTGGCTGTCTTTGTGTTGTCCTGCAGGCCCAAGAGGAAAGAAGTGAGGGCTGGGTGGGGTGTGGCGGAGAGGTCAGTTCCTTCCCTGGGGCAGACTGCAGACTGAAGCGTTGTGATCCTGTGCCGATGCTGGGGAACCCTCAGCTCAAACTGCCTGTCTCCAGAAAGACTGGGCTTTGGTCACCCCTGGTTTTCCTGGATTGGGATGTCCAGGTTATATGGAAATAAGTATTACAGTTATCAGATGGGTTGTCAGCGTTAGCCAAGAAGTAATGCTGGACAGGTGTGACTTGAAAAGGTGACAGGTATGTAAGGGTGTGGTCGGAGGACATGATCTCCTGGGAGGAAATGTATGTGGTGTGGAGATTTCTAATGTCTAGAGCGTTGTGTGATTGTAGTTTTATCGGCAAGGAAGCAGCACCCTGCCTGAGCCTCTGGTCAGAGGCTTCATTCTGTCTGCTGTATTTCAGGTAGAAAAGTTGCATTCGGTCCGATTTTGAGGAGTCACAGATATGTATGGTAAAGTCTAGCTCTGAAAAGCTCCATCCTGTACCTTAGCAGAGTTCCAAATTATTTGACCCATTGGTGATCTGCCCTATGAAACTTCTGCATTTAAAAGGTGGCACAGAAGTTTCTAGGATGTGTTCAGGAAGTGCACACTGGAATGTAGCTTTGACTCTGACATCTGGCGCGCATGTCCAGATTCAGAACAGTGATTTCACTCGTGGTATCCGTTAGGTAGAACCGGTCCTTATCAGTAGCTGCTCCCGTCTGTCCACAAGCGCTTGGATGCGAGTGCTCTCAGACTCGGAATGAACAGGAAGTGGCAGTGAGACACCAAACAGAGACAAGCCCAGGCCCAGGTCGCTTTCCATCGTGCGGAGATGGCCTTTGTCAGCACCCCGTGTGTCTTGCTGCGCACGCTGGGTTTTGCATCCAGGGATCTGTGTGTTATGGAAGCATGTTCCCAGCACGCGTGATAAAGGTGCCTCTTCCTCTATTCCCATGAACAGATACCAGTATTACCTGCAAGTCAAAAAAGACGTGCTCGAAGGGCGGTTACGGTGTTCACTGGAGCAGGTGATCCGGCTGGCCGGCTTGGCAGTGCAAGGTAAGACGTTCGTGCCCAGCGTGTGACCTTCTGCTTCTGTGCCAGTGTGGTGCTGCTGGCTTCTCGGAGTGGAAAGTCACATTTGCTGAAAGCATCCTTTGAGAACGCTCCCTTGTTATTTCGAGATAGCGTACGTTAAAATGAAAAGTGAGTGATTTGGGGTGGAAGGACAGTGGATTTCTCCAAGCTGTTTACGAATGGCTCATGCTTGTATAATTACAGCTGGATTTGAAGAATAGCAGCTTTTATCCTGCCTTTAATTCAAGCTACATTTCAGCGTTTGTGGAACATTTTCTCAGAATTTTTCCACTGCGAATGTGGCCATAATCTGTGGGTTGATGGTGGAAATGGGTTACTGTCCCGGCTTCCGGAGCAATTGCTTTAACCATCGTTGTGGAATTTATTCTAGTAGAGTCAGAGATAAATGTGAGATCCACGATGGTCACGTGAAACAACCCATGTGAACTGCAGTAAATTCGTGTTTCAACCTGCCCTATTTGGGTTTATCAGCTGGCTGTGTTTTTTTTGGTACTGGAGATCGAACTCGGGACCTTGCACTTGTGAGGCAGGCACCAGAACCACTGGGCTAAAGCGCTGGCTGTTTTTTATCTTCTCTACGTGCATGAGTAGGTGCGTATGTGTGCATGTGTGTGTGTGTTACTTGTTGAGTGGTGGCTTAATTGCCACTAGTCATATTGTAAGCGAGATAGAAATATAATTTTTGATGGGGAGTCCTGATTTTCTTGAAATTCAACTGCCAGCAGCTGAGTCCTTGCTGTGTGGATGGTTGGTTTAGAAGCTGTGAAGCGAACTTCCCATCTCACACTTGGAACTGAAGTTGAACCTTTTGAGTTCTAAATATCTGGAAATCAGTCCGTCCCCCCCCCCCCCCCCGCCTCTTTCTTCCTGTGGTGTGGTAATTTCTGCTGGGCATCCCATTTCTGCAGAGTTAGCTCCTGTTCATACTCTGTGGATAGAAATGACAAGCTACATTGTATCACAACTGTCTACTTGGGGACTGGAAAGGGAAGAATCCGTGGCTAGTTAAGATAGAAATACCACTGGTAGCATCATTAAAAAATGGAACACCCATCTCGCATAGACAAAGGATTGAGAACATCCAGTATGTACCTCAGCTTCAAATTAGATCCCTCTCCTTTTGAAAAGCTTTGATTGAACGACATCAGAAATATAAGCTGTGGGGCTGGGAATTTAGCTCATTGGTGCTGCTGCCTGCCTCGCAAGTGGAAGGTCCTGAGTTCGATCCCTGGTATCAAAAAAAAAGAAAAGAAAAGAAATAGAAGCTGTGATGGAAGGCATTAACTGATGACTGAACTTGAAAATAGCAGTGAGCCAGTTTTGTCTTTTTGTTTTTTCTTTTTGAGACAGGGTCTCACTGTGAAGTTCAGGCTGGCCTTGAACTTGCAGCGATCCTCCTGCCTCAGCCCCCCAAGTGCTGGGATCACAGGCGTGCGCCTCCACACCCAGCTGGCTTTGCTCTTCTTGGCTGCTGTGACTAATCAATAATAAGTTACGTGCTACCAAGTACATTTGCAGGTCCATCTTTGCTGTCTTGGCGAGTTCTGTAGGTTGACTCGGTGACTATATGTAGCTAGTCATTCTGTAGCTATTCTTACCTTACAAATACCTTAATCCATTTCTTTTGGATGCTAACTCTGTAACACGAAATCAGAATTCCACGTCTTCATCTCACGTGTGCGCCAGGAGACCCTTGTGAAAACAGGGCTGGGCAGACTCTTTGGCATCTTGCGACATGTGAAGTTGTTCAGGAGGTGTAAAGATGTTCAGGGTTGCATGCCAAGGGTGCTTTACAATGGGAATTTCCAGCTGCAGACACAGGAGCAGACACAGATGGGCCTGGCCATGCAGTTCTGCAAATTAACCTCGAGTTAAAATACCCCCTTGACAGAGATCTTAAGAGATGGACCAAGGCATGTTCTACAAAGAGAAATACAGGTTTGTTTTAAATTCTTAAAATAGCCTTTAGGAATGGCTTTCATATTTCTCCATTCTTGCCAGAAATTGTGTAGTGGTGTTCACGTGTTGATGTTTGCTGTTGCTGGGTAAAGGTAGTAACTACATCAAACACATCTTTGACACTGTTTTTATGTAATAGTGGTGCAGAAATGGAAGAAGGAAGAGTGTAGTAGGTGGTGACAGGTTTGCCCTATTTTATTCCAGCTTTAATTTCATGTAATAACTGTGACTCTTCCCTCATTCTTTTCTTCTCAGCTGACTTTGGAGACTATAATCAATTTGATTCTCAAGATTTCCTCCGAGAGTATGTGCTATTTCCTATGGTAAGTGTGACTTCTTTTTTTCTTAATGTTCTGCCTTCTTTGTATATTTCATCCTTTCCTTTGAAAATGTCAGAGAATGTTACAGACACATGTTCCCTGGAGAGGAACGTTCACACATTTATAAAGTAGGGACAAGTTTTACAAAACACATTGAGAAAGTAAAGATGCTTCTTTCTGCCCCAAGACACTTGTTGGCATATGGAGATGCCACTGGTTTTTGTGTTGATTTTTTTTTTTTGACCTGCCACTTTACTGAATTTGTTTATCAACTGTAACAGTTTTTGGTGGAATCTCTGAGAGTCTTTTTTAATATATAAAATCATATAGTGAGAAAATAGAAACAATTTTATTTCTTCCTTTCCTGTTCAGATCCTTTTTCTTGCCTGGTGGTTCTGGCTGGGGCTTCTGGTCCTGTGTTGAGTGGACTGGGATGTCACTCAGAAGAGAGCACTTATGCAGTATGCGTGGGGTCCTGGGTTCAGTCCCCAGCACTGGGAAAACAAACACCCCCTCAGGAGTAAACATACTCAATGATCTGAAAGAGCTGTGTACTGAAAACTATAAAACATTCATGAAGGCAGTTGAGATAACACAAATGGCAAGATATCTCGTATTCACGAATTGGAAGAATCAGTATTGTTAAAATGTCCATGTGACCCCCAGCAATCTCCAGATTTAATGGAATCCCCATCAAAATTCCAGTGTCAGAAGTAGAATAAACAATGCTGAAATTCATAACGAACCCTAAAAGTCCCAAAAGAGCTAGAGTCCTCTTGAACAGAAGTAACAAAGCTGGAGGATCACATTGCCTGACTTCAAACTGTGTTACAGAGCTCTTCTGAATAAAGCAGTATGGCACATGGCACAGGCAAAAAAGCAGACAGTTACCACTCAAATAGGATGGGGAGCAGAACAATAAATCCACACAGCTGCAATCAGTTGATTATTTAAAAAGAGGCCAAGAATAGGGCTGGGGATTTAGCTCAGTGGTTCCACCGCCTGCCTCGCAAGTGCAAGGACCCGAGTTTGATCCCTGGTACCAAAAAAGAAAAAAAAAGGCCAAGAACACACAATCAGTAAAGACTAGTCTCTTCAGTAAATGGTGTTGGGAAAACAGGCTATCCACATGGAAGGAATGAAACTGGGCTGCTGTCTCACCTGTTACGCATAAATCAACTCCAAATGGATTGAAGATTTTGATATCAGACTCGAAACTGTGAAACTGTCCAAAGGAAACAGGAAGAGCGATACAACATTGGTCTAGGAGATGAATTCTTGCATATGACCCCAAAATACTGGCAACAAAAATAGATGAGATTGCATCAAGCTAAAAAGCTTCTACACAGCAAAGGAAATAATTAAGAGGAAAACAAATAACTCTCTGTAAAAATGGGCAAAGGACCTGAATAGATGCTTCTCAAAAGAAGACCTACAAAAACCCAGCAGATACACGGAACATAGTCAGCAGGGGATGGCAATTAAAGCACAGTGAGTCATCGCCTGGCACCTGTTCGGGTGAAGTGTTGGAGAAGATGTGGAGAAGAGGGAGCCTTAGTACATGCTTGGTGGGGATTTAAACTAGTACAGACACATGAAACCAGTGTGGAAGCTCCTCAAAAGAAAAAATACTGAACCTACTAGACAAAAATTTTATTTTTATATAGTTTCCTTTTTAAATGACACATAACAATTGTACATACTTATGCCGTACAGTGTGACGTGCAACACATGTATTCAATATATATATTATATATAAAGAAAGAAGAAAAAAAACTAAACTGAAAATAGAATTACCATATGATCTAGATGTCCCACTTATGGATATATAAATTTGAAAAAACTACAATAAGCTTGTCAGAAAGCTATCTATACTCTTATGTTCATTGCAGCATTATTCACCGTAGCCAAGACACGGAAACAAGTAAATGCCCACCAGCAGGTGAATACTCAGCGTTTTTTTTTTTGGTACCAGGGATCAAACTCAGGTCCTTGCGCTTGTGCAGCAGGCAGTGAAACCACTGAGCTAAATCCCCGGCCCACTTCAGCCTTTAAAAAAGCTCAAAATCCTGTCATTTGCACAACATTGATGAATCTGGAGGACAGTATGGCCGGTGAAATGAACCAGCACAGAAAGATAGATGCTGCATGATGTCTCCTATGTGTGGAGTCGAAAAATTCCAAGTCCCGGAAGCAGAGAGTAGCATGATAGTGTGGAGGGTGGTGAGCCTGGGGCAGGGGAGGGACCGTGTTGTCCGAGGGTCCTAAGCTTCAGTTTGACGGGAGGATTAAGTCCTGGTGACCCGTGGCACAGTCTGGTGATGAGGAGGCTTCAGATGATGTGTATTTCAAAATTGCTGCAGCAGTGGCTTTTAAATATTCTTGCCACAAAGAAATGGTAGGTATGTAAGAGCATGGAGTGTTAATTAGCTGATTTGCCCATTCCAGCAATGCACACACCTTACCAGAACATCACACGGTACCTCATCAATATGTACGATTCTTATTTGTCAATAAATATAATGAGATTTAAAAAGACACTTCTCTGCCAGGCGCTCCTGGCTCTCCTGGTGCCCTGCAGCCCCTGGCTCGGCTCCCCTGGGAGCTCACTGACCTTGTGCCTGGTGTCCCCTGTGTGGACCAGCTCTGCTGGTGTGCGGCTGAGCTGTGATTGCTTGCAGGCTTCTGCCCACGGCCGCTTGCTTTCACCTCCGTTCCTGCATCCCCACCCGCCAGGCTGTATTGTGTGCTACATGCGCTGCGGTCTCTGGCCACATCCTGGCAGTCGAGGCCGTGTGGCCACATGGCTTTGTGCAAGTCGGCGGACCTTCTAAGGCTCAGTTTTCTCATCAAAAACGAGTTAACAGCCTGGATCCTTTCGTGAGCACTCTAGGAGAAAATGCATGGATGTGCCCCGATTGGCACGTGGTGAATTCTCAGTAACTTTGTTCAGCTGTTTACATCATCATCATCATCGTCATCGTCATCGTATTAGCACTTGCATTTCTGTTCAGTGTCCACGTTATGCAAACCCAAGGATGTTGAAGAGTGTGCTTCCCGGACAGCATCGCTTTTCGGAATGGAAGCAGACAGAGGACAGGCAGAAGGCACAGATAATCATTAGCCATCTTTGCATAACTAGGAACTCTTCTTTGATGCTGTGCAGCTGACATGGTGCCCAACGAGTTCTCGGTCACTTAGTGTGCATTGAAGACCTCCGAATAGTTACTGTGGCAGAGCCCTGGATGGCACGGAAGTGACTGGAAGAGGAATGGCTGCCTGTATTCGCACAGAACCAAGAATAGAGGGGCATATGAATAACTGTGGTGGAAATGAGAAATGCGTAGGCATCGTGTATAAAGGGCTACAGAGTCGCGCAGAGGGGAGAAGGTGGTCCGGGGCATGGAGGAGCCCTGTCCAGGGCCTGACAGCTGAGAGGGACCCGAAGGGTGGTGTGACATTGCACACTGTGTGCTGGGACTGGATGCTTCTTCCCAGAAGCGTGAGTGTGAGCGTGAATGCGGTGGAAACGCAGCGTCTGTTGAGAAGAGGCATTTGCCTGGGAGCAGAAATTAGAAGGGCGCCTGGCCACACTGGAGTAAGGGCCGATTGCCAGGCCCAGGTGTTGACCTCTCTGAGCAGGCAGTGGGGAGCCACGGAGGGTTGTAAACTTTCTGCTCGTCCCACTGGAAGCTTTCAAAGAGAGGAATGCATTCCTTGGGTGGGGGAGGGAAGATGGGATGAATGGCTGTGTTTGATCTTACAAAGGAGCCGAATTTGTCAAATGGTGTTTCTTCAGCAGAGAAAAGAACAAAGTAAAGTGCAGGGCTTGCTCCCCAGGTGTGCCTCTGGCCACATCCTCTGGTGGGGCACATACTACAGAGAGGCCCGAGGGGGCAAGTTCGGAGCAAGAAGTCACCAGGTTCCTTTGGGCCCCCTTTCTCTATGCAAAGTAGGAAGCAGAGGTTTAATGGAATCCTTTTTGATCTTCTCACCCTTCATTTATTCAGTTGCCACCTGCCTTTCGTTAGCTTTTCAAAATTAATATCCTGCACTTACTGCTCCTGGGTACTGAGGCGCACGCTCCAAGCACAGAGGTGAGAATGCGGTGCTTATTCACCACTGTGGATTTGAGTTGTCTCTGTGGACAGCCAGAGAGGAAACAGCAGATCGATCCTTTCACGTGAAAAACAAGAGCTCCTACAATTCCCTCCATTCTCTCCGTGTCTCAGGAGCATAGAATCGGCAGAACCTGCAGAGCTATAGAATTTCCATACAGAGCCACAGCCTCATTCTCCGGTCTTCATAAATCCCACTCTTCCCCATTTTTATGTTTTGACATGGGGCGTTTCTTAACAGTGTTGAAGTTTCCATTCTCAGGGGTAGCATTTCTTCCATGAAAACCTGTTTGACTTGGGGGTAAATCTATATAAATGGGATTTTAGAAGCTAAGGGAATGGGGCGCTTTGTGGGATTTCTGCCAGTGTCAGCCTCCGCCCTGCACTCCCAGTAGTGAGAGCCTCTAGCGCCCTCAGCTGGACAGGCTCAGAGTCCTCCTGCTGGCCTCCCAGGGCTCAGAGGACAGTGCTGCCCATGCCCTTCTAGGCACGACTCTGCAGCCCTGTGTCCCTGGGCCAGGCTCTAGCTCTGCATACCTGTCGTCCCGTGGAACTTCCTCGAGCTGTTTCAGCCATCGTGACGGCCTCCACTCCTGTGACTGCCTAGTGACATCCGAGGAGCCTGCTCTGCTTACATGGGCTTCGGATTTGTTTGCTGGTGTTCAAAAGATGCACAAAAAGGCCTGGCACAGTCGCTTCCTGGGTTCAGCTTTTTTTTGTTTTTTGTTTTGGTACCAGGGATTGAACTCGGGACCTTGTGCTTGTGAGGCAGGTGGCAGAACCACTGAGCTAAATTCCCAGGCCCCCTGAGTTCAACTTTTGAAAGGACGGCAGCCTAGAAATTCATTAACCTGCATAGCTGGATCGTTAAAAATGCATGAGTTAAGCAATTCTGATACAAGTGCAGTCGAGAGACAAGCACGTAGGGAGGAAGGTAAATGAAAAGTAGGACTGTTTCTGGGCCCTGCAGAAATTAGGTGGCAACCCAAAATACACCTGGAAATGGTCTTAAGTTCTCACGCAGAGCTGTGTATAACAGTAGGAGTCGCATCTCAGCCCTAAGGAGAGAATGCAGGAACGCGGCTCATTGCTCATCGGGAACTGACTTCCTTCCTTTCTTCTTTTTTTCCTTTGGTTGAAGGTGCTGGGGATTGAACCCAGGACTTTGCAGTGAGCTACGTCCCTCGCCCTCTTTAAATTTTTTGAGACAGGCTCTCACTGGGTCACTAAGTGGCACTGGCTGGACTTGAACTTAGCAGTGTCCTACCTCAGTCTTCCAGAGTGCACCATCGTGCCCAGCTAGGAGCCTCTCCTAAAGAAGAAGGGAGCTCGGGAGGTTCACCATCAAGACGCAAACGCCTGGCGCTGCTTGGTTTAAGTGCGTTCTCTTCTTGCAGGACTTGGCCCTGGAAGAGGCTGTGCTGGAGGAGCTGACGCAGAAGGTCGCTCAGGAGCACAAGGCCCACAGGTGAGGCCGCAGAGGCAGCAGGTGCCACGGTCGGCTCGGGTCCCCTCTTCCCATGTGACTCCCCTCTGTTCTGTCCTCAGAAAGGGAGAGGTGGGCTTGAAAACTCTGCTTCTTCCCTCCCTCCCTCCTTTTCATTCTCTTCCATCCTCTTCTTTCATCCCTTTCTCTCCCTCCTCCTCCTCCTCCTCACCAGGAAGCCCACACAGATGTGACGTAGAGAACCTGCTTCCGTCTGGGAAGCCCAGGCTTCCTGTGGGAGTGTGCAGACCTGAAGCGCCCCGTTGAGTGGGAAGGTGAAGCCCGGGGGCCGGGGCGGGTGGAGAGCGTGAGCTAAGGAGGCTCCGAGCTCTCCTCTTCAGGGCCCTCGGAGCTGTCCTGGGCCAGTGGTCAGCAGACTCCTTTTCTACCCATCCTCAGAGAACCAAGCCCTCGGCCTCCCTTATCACCCTGATAAACCTTATTTAGAAATTGTTTTCTATAGAAAGATAGTGGAAGTTTTTCCCAGTTGGGAAAACATAACTTCTTTTCAAAGCAGGCAGCATCATTCGCAGAGATGTTTGGGATGACTGTGTAGTATTTTAAGGCTGTGGCTCTTAGTGAAATGCTTCAGCTTCCTGTCTTTATAAACCCATCAGTTGGTGAAGGGCTGCAATGTGTTAATGAATTACCTAGTGTCCCCACCCTGGCTGGGCCATAATTGCTCTTCCCCGAAGCTGAAGCCGAAGCGGGACCTAAACCCAGCCCTGGAATTTGCCATCATCGGGGCAGGCCCTTCCGCGACTGTGGCCTCCAGGGTTCCCTCTTGTTTGATTGTAGTGGGATCCTGCCCGCCGAGGCCGAGCTGATGTACATCAATGAAGTGGAGCCGCTGGATGGATTCGGGCAGGAGGTCTTCCCCGTGAAGGTGAGGTGCTCGGGCCCGGCCTTGCCGAGGCCAGCGCAGAACCACACAGCCATGCAAACTGCATGTAGATGACAGGGGACCAGAGGCTTCCCCTTCTCACTGCCACGCAGCGTGAGTGGGCAAGTCTACCAGCTTCAGGGGAAGCAAACGCTATTTCTTCGCTGGGAGATTTTTGAGGTTTCCATGATCTTCAGCAGAATGTCTCATTTATAAGACAAGGGTATGGTGGTGCACAGCTATAGTCCCAGCACTCTGAGAGGCTGAGGCAGGAGGATTGCAAGTTTGAGCCTAGCCTGGTCAACCTAAACAGCTTAGCAAGACCCTGTCTCAAAGTGAAAAATAAAGAAGGGCCAGGGATGTAGCTCAGTGTGAAAGCCCGGGGTTCAATCTCTAGTACCACACACAGACACAGAAAGCCATCTAAGTGAGCATGGTGCACCGTGTCATCCAGCGCTGTGAAGGTTGCCAGGGCTGCATCTAGTGTTAAGTGCAGCTGGGCCAGTAACTCCTGTCCTCCTGTGGACAGGGTCTCTAGCCAGGACTTCTCTCCCATGGGTATTTCATTTCCCTTCTTACAGTGGGCACAGGGAGAATGACCTGTGAGCCAGAGGGAAGCACTTCGTGCATGCATTTCCATTTATTTCTCCAGCTCCTTGGAGCTCCCTGCGTGGCTGTCCAGCCCCTGGGGCTCCTTGGGGACACTGAAGGTAGGCAGCATATTGCCTCCCGGGTGTCACTCCACCTCCCACAGTGGGTGTGGCTTTGGGGGTCCCATGCATGGTCACTTCCGAGACTGAACCCACAGTGGAGCCTCATTTTCCTCTCTCTGTGACAACTTTTCCTGAAAAGTGGAGTTTTATCGGAGACCTGAGGCAAGTGGGCTCATCCCAGCCCTTCGGGAGAGGCCTGCAGTATTGGCCGGAATATCGCGCTCCAGCGCGGCTCCGCTGGCTGCTTTATAAGCGCCCTGCTCCCCTCGGCTGTGGGTTTGGCTTAATGAGAAGTATCTGCCTGCATCAGGCAGAACTGAACTGGGTAGCCAAGGCCCGTGCGAAGGGCGTAACGGCCCTTCTGTAGACATGTTTAATTTTCTTTGGCTCCTTTCACAGCTGCCCTTGGTGGGCTGTAACCCATGTCCGTGCCGTGATGCCCCTCGAAGCCATCTGCATCCACTACACTGCAGCAGCCCCTAGGGAGTCAGGGTATTTGGGGTCGTTGGAAAACTTTTCTCCACTTCTAGAAACGTGACTGCTTCCGTGCCTGGGTATTGGGGGTTTTGGTTATTTGTTCTGGATCATCCTGGCCCGGGCAGTAGGGGCAGTCCAGGTGGCGGGAAATCCCCAGGCTGGGCTCTGGTCCCTTCTTGAAGGTTCTGGCGGGGACCCTGAGGGAGCTCCGCCGTGGGCCCTGCTGGCTCCTGGCTGCTGGCCGGTCCCCCACATGTCTGTCTGTGACTGAGGCGGCCACCTGTGGCCCACAGAAGGCTTGTGACCCCGAGATGGTGGGCAGGAGCAGCAGGACTGAGACAGGTCTGTGGGAGGTGGGAAAGAGTGCCGGGAACAGTGGGAGACACGAGCATCCCCAGGCGGTGTGGGCTTCTCCTCAAGTGGATCCTAGAAACGGCTTCCTGCAGCTGTTCCCTGTCCTCCAGAGACACACGGGTGGCTGCTGCCGGAGCCCTGTGTCACCTGAGCGCATGACATGGGAGGCGCTGCTGGGGTGGCCAAGGCAGAGCTGAGCCTCAGCAGGGACCTTATCCCTCCCTCCCTTCCTGTCTCTTTTCTCCTTCCTTCCATCCGTCCATCCACCCACCCGTTTATCTTTCTTTCTTCCTTTGTAGTAGTGGGGATCAAACCCAGGGCCTTTGCACTGAGTGATATACCCAGCCCTTTCTGCATTTTTATTTTGAGACGGGATCTTGCTCAGTTGCTCAGGCTGGCCTCGAACTTGCTGCGATTGCAGGTGTATGCCCCTGAGTCCCACTGAGTCCTTAAGCTCTGACCAGTGCAGCGCCCTGGCACCCAGGGCAGAGGGCACCTTGGGCGTCCTCTCTGGTTTTCCATTTCTCTGCCCTGGGAACTGCTCTTCTGTAATCCTGTCCCCACCAGACTCCAGTGGCCCTGCAGCCCAGCGCCAGCCAAGTCTCTTCCTCCCTGGCTGCTCCTGTCCTCCTCCCCGCGTGGATTTTCCTGTCGTGTGACTCACCTGTTCAGCTTCCGGGCATCGCTGTAATGGGCCGCTCTCTTTTCTTGGTTCTTTGTCTCGCCATGCTCTGCTTTGCCACAGAAGGGTCTTGCCGGCGATCTCTTTCTTCTAGAAGCTTCCAGCTCTCCTGTAAGTGTTGGTGGCAGGAGAGAGGAGAGGTCACAGGAGGCGGCCCTCAGGGCTAGTGTCTGGGGAACACAGGGCTCCTTCCTCTGTCTCTAGCCTGGAGAAAGTGGGGCACAGTGACAGCTTAGCTGCTGGCTGAGGAGCCGGTGCCCTGCTGCTCTCAGAACTCAAGCAGGGGACTGGAAACACCGCCGGAGACACTGGGTTCCCCAGCGTGGGGCCAGCGGACCCTGCAGTGAAGCCGGCCGTCCCCCCTGGCTGCCCTAGCGCCTGGCACCCACTCTGGAGCACGGAGCGACAGCCGGGCGTCACCCACAGGACGTCCTGGGAGGAGGGAGCAAGGCTGACTCAGTGAGACCGAGGCGGGGAGACATGGGGACTCCACAGAAAACCCCGATGCTGCCCAGAGAGACTCTGAATCGGGAACAGCAAGTCGCCTCCTTGAAGGAATGGGGCGCATAGAAAAAAACATTTAGAAAATGAAGAAGAACTCTTGGGAATTAAAAATATGGTATCAGTAGTGCCAAGCAGTGGATAAGTTAGAAAATAAAACTGAAAACAGCTCCCCACAAGGGAAGAAAACCCAAGTAAAGCAAAGAGGGGGGACAGGGAATGGAGGAAATAAGGAATTTAGCAGCCCCAGCCAGGAGGTCCGGGAGCTGAATGGTGTGAGCAGGGGAAACAGAGGCACAAACTGGGGACTTGGGCCCCGTGTGGAGGTGCGTAGGGTTCTCCGCTGTGTGGGCCGCACACGGGGTGCAGAGGTAGACACGGCAGCTCTAGGAGGTACATGTCACCGAGGGGAGGAAGTTGCTCTTCAGAGTTGGTGCATGAATAACCTTGATTTCAAAAACTAAGTTAAAAAAGTGAATAGATGTTCATGAAAGAGGAAACCCAAATGACCTGCAGGCAGACCTGAGGAAGTGATAAGATTCTGTCCCCAGCCGAAATGGAAAACACATTTTTGCTGTGTTGTAACAGGGGGAAAAAGAGAAATAACGTGTCATCCCCTGAGGTGTGCAGGGCTGAATTCCTGTCCTTGTCCTGCACTGCTCACCGCCTTGCTGGGATACACTCGGGATTCGCCCCAGTACAGCGAGGGACACGGTGTGTGGGCTGGAGCCAGGCACTGCAAGACTGTCTGTGACCCACTGCATTGCAGATGTCTCCAGAAAAGCTTGTTGTTTAGTGGACAAGTACAAGTCGTGTACATGTATTTATCACACACGACATGTTTTGAAATATGCATAAATGTGTAACGGCCAAACAGGTGCAGTAGCATATTCGTGACCTCACATACTTTCTGCGCATTCTCTGAGTATGAAGAATACAGTCCATTGTTAACTTCGGTCACTGTGATATGCAATTGAGCTCCCGGATTTGTTCCTTCTAAGTAAAATTGTGTATCTTTCGGTGAATATCAGCCCTCCTTGGTCACTGGCATTCTGCTCTGCTTCGATGGGCCCAACCTCTTTAGATCCCTCATCTAAGTAAGGACATGTGGTATTTGTCTTTCAATACCTGGCTTATTTCACTCAGCATAAAGTCTTCCAGGTTTACCCACGTTGATTCAATGGCAGGATTTCCTTTTTGAAGGCTACATAGTATTCCGGGGACTGTACTGTATATCCCACATTTTCCTTAACCATCCATCCATGGATGAGTAATTAGTCCTCCCCATATCTTGGCTCTTGTGAATAGTGCAGCAGTGAGCATGGTGATCAGAAGTCTTTTGTTGATGTTACACAGGACAATCATGGAAACAGTATGCACCTTGGCGTTTTCTTCATGGGGATTTTCGTGAGGAACAGAATTGGAAGACAAGCAGTGATATACAGGTAAGCGGACTTGTGTTTTCTTTTTCCTTTTTCCCCTTGAGAGATGCTGGACAACTGCCCTGACTGTTGAAGTTATCTGGATGAGTGAAGTGCCAGACCCCGTGGGTCTGGGTTGAGCTCTTCCCAGCTCTTCTGTTGTCTCCCTGCCTGAACCGGGAAGTTACCCTGTTGAACCCTTGAGGTCAGGAGAGTGGACTCAGCCTCTGCAGCCAGCATCCTGCTGGTCATCCACGGGCAGACAGAGGATCCAGATGGTCTTCCCGCCCCCCGCACCCTCTTGTCTGGGGCTTATTTCGGCTGATCCCATTTTAACCCTGGTCTCCCTGAAGATGGAGAAGGAAACGGTGAAACTGTGTTTGGCTCACACGTGCGAGGCACAGCCGGCCCGCGGAGCACGTGGCACCCCGCATCCGCCTGGTACCAAGTCCAGCCCCTTGGTGGCAGAGGACTTTGTAATAATGTTCTGCTCCTCCATCCTTAAAAAGCAGGGGCCCCAGAAATGCCTTGGCAGTTTGGAAATACGGAGGAAGAAAGCAACAAAAATCCTTGCATCTTTGAGTCATAGCTTGGGTTACCAGTTTCCAGATGTTATTTCCCCTAGTATGGTTCCTTGGGTAAATAGAGGCATGTTATATTCCCTGTCGTTTTCTCCTTTGAGAGGAAGAGCATTTTCAGCTGCTTTTTCAAAGGGGCTGCATCATAGTTTGACAGCGGACACCCCCCAGCTGGGTCAGGAATCCTTGGAGCAGTGTTGCGCAAACCCAGTTCCTTGTCCTCTGGCAGGTGGAACGATATTGGGACCGTCACCCACAACAAGTCCACGATCCTGGTGGAGCTGGTCAGCAAGGAGGAGACGGCCCTCTTCCACATGGTGAGCCAGGCGGGTGGCCGGCGCGGCAGGGCCCCGGACGGCGAGAGGTTTAGTGTCCTCCCTTTGTTCCCACGGCTTGAGAGAAGTGTCCTGTCTTAAGAGATGCCTTCAGATCCTTTCCCGATGCTGTGACCACCTGTTTTAGGGTAGTGGTGGTGAAATCCCAAAGTGCTCAGAATGCCCATTTCTGAGCTGACTTTTGGCTCTCGGATTTGGGTGTCTGTGGCTGCCTGCTGGTGGCTGATCCCTCTGGTGTGTGAAGGCCCTCTGGTTGCACCTCGTGGTGGGTGGCATTGTATTTCCCTTTGCTAGCAGACTTGGATTTCATTCCCATCGCAGCCCGAGCTTCCCTGCAGCCCTGAGTGGCCGTGGAATCCCTCTTCTCCTACTCTCCTTCCCCCTCCCGGAGCCAAGCTTTTCCCACATCTCACTGCCTCCTGCCTACTCTGTCTGGTGTTTTTTCCTCTGCTCTGCCTTGATTCAGTTATTTATCTTTGAAGGCCTGGGTTTAGGATTAGGTAAGGGCAGCCTGGTATCCCAGTTCATGAGTGTGGCCCGGAGCCTTGGGCACGAAAATTCTTTAGCAGCACCTTCTGCTTTGCTGGGCGCTGCCCCTGGGACTCGGTGGGTCGGTTGCCTCCTGGCGCAGCGGGTTGGTTTGTAGCTGAGATGGGGGAGCGTGGAAGGATCTTGGTGCAGTGCACATGTAATCAAACAAATGTTTATTGTTTTTCCCTCCTTCTCTCCCTTTCCAAGGATGACATCGAGAATGCCAAGTATGTTTCCCGGTTATTTTCGACACGGCACAAGTTTTATAAACAAAACAAAATCTGCACTGAGTAAGTACATGTTGATGGAGATCACTTTTTCCATTTGCTGTTCTCCCTTGATCCTTGCAGAAGCTGTAGAAGCGGCTCCACTGGGCGGGAAGGGAGGCTTTAATGTTGGAGCCTGCCTGGGGTCACGCATGTACCTAGAGAGAAAAGGATCCCAGGTGGACCACGCGGCTGGCTGGGCCGCATTAGTGCCTTTCCCGGCCTCGGCTCTGAGTTCGGAGGAGCTCTGTGGCGCCCAATTTGCCGGGGTGCCCCTCGGGTCAGGTGCGGGGCACGTTCAGAAGTGGGGACGCAGCGCCGCGCCAGCTTGAAAGGGAAGACGCTGCTGTCATCCGGCCGCCCTCGCTCACTGCCTGCTCGCCCTGCGGGCGCTCCGGGCCTCATCAGCTGCCTGCAAATCAGAGGCCGGGGTAATTAGAGGGCGATTTGGAAGGCCCTGAGAGGTGTCCAAATCTGCGTGTCTTCTCTTCATTTAATTCGGAAATAAAGGGGCGTCTGCTGCGGGCCCCTTCCCTGTGGCCTGACCTCGGAGATCGAGCCGGGCTCCCCCGTCCGTCTACCTTGGTCGTCTTCAAAGACGTTCTCAGCAGCAAGCTCTTGCACTTTGGGCCCCCAGGGTGTTTAATTTGGGTTCAGAGAGCGGCAGGGATGTGATGCAGGATGACCCGCTGCTCTGCTCCCGCCGAGACACTGCCGAGGGGTAGAGCGTTGGCTTCCGGTGGGTGCTGGGAACTGGGTCCCTGGGTCAGACCGGACTTTCTTCCCTATAGGACGGAGGCTGTGCACTTGGTCACTGCGGGGCTCTAAGTGTGTGTGACAGTCCTGGGCCTTAAGTAAGTCTGTCCTCCAGGTGAATCAGAGGCCCGAGCAGGGAATGGCAAATTAGGCAGCTGCATCTTTCCCACGGACCTGTTCTTCCATGCGCGATGGACAGCGTTTTTGATCAGATTCCTTGGTCGCTCTGTGCGGTTGGACTCTGCTTCTCCCTTTGACTTGTCAGGGTGTCCTGGCCATTAACAAGAGTTCTGTAGTTGACTTCTGTAGGGTCGCTCGGAAACTGCGCTGAGCAGAGGGATTTCGCTGTAGCCCTTTGGCTTAACCATTTCTCAGCAACTGGCTGTACGGCCGGCTGCTTCCCGAGGGTGCTTCACCTACAAGACTGACAACTGAGAAGTTCTTTTTCGTCCTGCTTCTGTAATAGGCCCTCCGTGCTCCTTCCTGACGTGCTGCAGGGGCTCCTGTTAGAAATGGGGTTTTTTAAGCATTTATTTTATGAGTGCGCGTTTGCAGTACCTGCTGATTACATTCCCCGAGAGGAGTTGGCCCATGTATATAAGAGCTTAATTTTTTTTTTCATCCTGGGACTGATTGAAAATTGGGGCTGTTGTGTTGCATCCGTGTAAAATTCTAGATGCAATTTCACGCACACTCACTGTCCCAGCCTCGGCACACTGAGCTGACCTCCGTGGGCTCCCCTGCCTTGGGGTGCGCAGAGCCCCTGGCCGCCCGGCTGAGCACGCCTGACCTCTGACACATGGCTGTCGGGTTCTCTGTCCCCGCAGGGCCCCCACTTGTCATCTGCTGCTGCCCCTCCCCAGAGCGGGGCCGGCTGGCCTGGGGAGGAATGGCAAGGGGACCAAGTTTAACACAGGCCGGTGACATTTCATTTGGCCGGCTGGCATTAGAGAAGTCCCTCGTTACTCTGTCATCTCCGTCGTAGCATGAAAAAATGGTATAATCGGAAAGTTAGGAAGGGGCAATCCAAGAGTAGGAAGAGTCCTTTGAAGAACTTAACTGATAAAAACCTCTTGTCTTGTTTTTAATTTTATTTATTTTTTCATGATAATACCAAGGACTAGAGAAAATGTTGTTATGGCCTTTGGGACCCATTGCTCAAAAGCATCTTGGATTTCATTTTTTAAGAATTCAACAGTATTCCCAGTTCCCACTCATTTTTATCCCTGCTGTTTTCTTTTTCTTGTTTAAACTGCTCAGTCTATGGCTAGGATAGGGAGTTCAGTGGTAGCACACTTGTCTAGCAATAAAATTAAGTAAAAAAAAAAAAAAAGGATCTGGTCAGAAAAATATTTGTAACATGCGTTATCTTAACAAGAAGTGCTTTTATATGCTCGTGCTGAAAAGTATTTTACCTGTTTTGGAATTTCATTTGACTGGAAGCATGTTTGAAAGATAGTTTCTCTTTTTGTCTCTCATCATCTTTATCATGAGAGATTTTACCCAGCCACAAATGTACAAAGAGTAATAATTTTTTAAAGCTTATGTAATCATAATGGTGGTGTTTTTCAGCTTTATTTCTTTAAAAGTAAATTTCTTTAAAAGTCATATTAGCTGCTAAAACTTATTACTAACGTGGCATAAGTTCCAGACATTTTGAGAATAAAGAGAAGAATAAAAGGGAAGGGAAAATTGTACTTAGCGTCAGCATCCAGACCCGGCCGGTGTGTATGTTCCTGTGTATACCTCGCCGATCTTGTCATTTTCCCTTCCCTTTCTCCCTCGTCTCTCTGCCCTTGTGATACCTGATCCATAATAATGGCCATTCTCGTTTCTTTCCAATTTCTCACGCAGGCAGCCTGACTCTCCACGGCCCATCCGACGCCAGCCCACCTGGAGCCGCTCCTCCGTGGTGAGTGTGCCTTCTTCCGGTGCCGTGGGCTGACTTGCCATGAAGGAGGGAGCGGGATGGCTCGGGAGCACAGCAGGGCATCCCTGCCAGGCAGGGTGGTGAGTGTCCGTTGTGGCCCCGGAACCGAGCCCAGCGCTTCCGGAAGGGCAGCTGGGGCTCCCAGAGCGGCCCCAGTCTCTGCTGTGATTCTCTCCTTTGTGTCCATTGTGTTTTCCACTTCCCATCTCCAGTCGTAGCGTGGTGACATGCTTTTAGTTCTGAGCTCCACGAATGCTTTTGTGTTCCCTGCCATAGACTGAACTTAGTAAACTAGTCAGAAAGTCCTTCTTAAACGACCAGCAATGGAATGGCTCCAGTTAATGGTCCCAGGTAGTCTTTGATGGGAACGAATGATGGCGTGTTTTCTCATTTGAAAGCTTTAGTTAGCCAACAGAATTTGAGTTGATCCACTTTTCCCCCAATCTTTCAGGATGTTTTCTCCGTGTTTTTCTATTTTAATTACTCTCTTCAGTTTGTGCCTTGTTACTTGGAGGCTTATTCAAGGATAATATAATAGATGCCAGGAGTTGGCTTTCTTTAAAAGTTCCTGCTTGTTGAGTCACAGTTCTTCGAGGTTATGACTTTTTATGCACAAATGGGTAAATAATGTAGGCTTTTAATTTTTTCTAGATGAATAGTTCCTTCGAGTGGACAGGAGCATCAAATGGAAGTTTTGTTAGCTTGTCTTTTAGAAGGAAAGTTTTGAGGACAGTTATTCTTTTCTAGAAAATGCATGGACATGGACTCTTGGAGCCCAGGGCTGGGCCACTGTCATTCCAGGAGAAGCCCCGAGGCCTGTGCGTGTTGTCCCAGTCTGTCACATGTGTCCTCTGCCTGGAGCATCCGAGAGGCACTCTGGGCTTTCCCTGGACCACCAGTGGACTCATTCGTGGAACTGGTTTCCTCATCCTTCTGTTCTTTGTTAATTTACTTCCTGTTCTAAACAGTAAGATCATTTCTCACTCATGTCCAGGAGACTATGGGAGGCCGACGATGAAGGGCACCTTGGGCTCTGATCTGGTTCCAGTTACCCAGAGAGGACGCAGAGCTTTACCTTCCTTACTGTGATGAAGCCAGAATAGAGGAAGCAGATTCGGGGCTCCACCTCTCCCCAGCCTTCAAGTTTAAACCTTTCACCACAGTTCTTGCCACGAGGGAGGGAGAGGAAATCCAGAGGCCTTGTCTCTCTGCCTCCTTGCCTCTGGCCAGGGTGCCAGTCGCTTATTTTCTCCTCCTTTTCTGCGGCTGTGTGATAGCATTCAATCTGTTTCTGTATTTGGAGGTCTGGAAGGAAATGGAAGAATATGTGGGAATAGATTAGGAAGTGAGATGAATACTGTAACCCTGAAGTGGTTGGAAGGGTTCATCCTTTTTACCCTGTGCCTGTACACTTAGGCCAGCTCGTAAACACTCACTTACTGGATTTCTTTTCTCAAATAAGAGCAAGAGGAGGTAATAAACCCTCTTTGCCTTGCCATTTATTTCTGTTCCTTTGTACAAATCTCTCTTCACTATTTAAAAAAAAGATGTAATACCAGCCATCCTGGTGTGGACAAATGTAGTTGAGTTATGTATTGCCAAGGACAGGAAAATATTTTTAATTTACAACTCAAAATTCAGCCACAGGAACACTCGAGAATGTTTAGTAATGCTGACGTAGCTCCTCTTCTCTGGTACCAGGGCCTACTCAAGATGCATTTAATTTCAATTTTTTTGTTTCTTCTCTCTTGATTCCTTTTAAGTTTTAGCCCCTTGTCTTCATTCCCTTCTTTATTTGCCCTTTTGATGCCAGATGCTAAGAAATCGGGGCTCCTGCTGGCTTTGAGCTCTTGTTTGAGCTCAGCATCTTCGACATTCTCTTTCTCATGAAGAATTAATTTTTAAAATTATATCTGTAAGGCTTGTAGAAATATAAAAGATCATCCTGGGGCCAGGGATTTAGCTCAGTGGTTCCATCGCCTGCCTTGCAAGTGCAAGGTCCCAAGTTTGATCCCCGGTACCAAAAAACAAAAAGATCATCCTGTTTGGTGACTTGCAAACTTCTATATCTGTATATGATTTCATGAAACAGAGCCTTCTGACCCAGAACCCTAATACATGGATAAAATGAATGTTTGAGGTCAGGGAAAGGACAACGCTGATTTGATTGGCAAGAACTTGAAACCTAGTGCAGTTAAACAACTCGCTGTAGGTCACAGCTGGGAATCACCATGTTTCCTTTGCTCACCCACTGGTCAGTCCATCAAAGGTTTTCTTTTCTCTCCTCCTGAAAGCTCTGCCCTCTTCTGCAGCAGGAAGTGATTTGGGTTGCATCTCAGTGGCCACCCTAGCCTAAGATTCTGGGTTGGGGTGGGAAGAGTTCTGGAGCCTTTCCACATTGTTCCTGCAGTGTGGACAAGGAGTAAAGGGCCATGAGAACTATAGGCTCAGCTCGTCCTGCGTCACTGTGTAATTTTTAGGTCACTTTACCACTGGGCCCACACTAATCACCCTGTCCCTGTTGAAGTTGCTGTGGCCCTGTGAACCAGGCTGTGTGCTGATGCTGGTGGGTAGGAGCATGGGGCCCCAGGAGGAGACTAGTTTTGAATAGAACGGAATAGGCTTCCTTTTCATTTCTTAGCTGGGTCATCACGGGCTGCCCGTCCCCATTATACCTGTTAAGAAGGCAGGTGTAGAGGAAACAGACAGTGAATAGCTACACTGGGCTTTGGACCATGGCCACTTGCTCTTTCTGACCTTTTTTGTTTCTCCCTGGGTGTTTTTCTGGTCCCAAGCTTGGTGACAGTTGGGGTACAGATGAGAAATGGGGTTCAGGGCCTCACCGTGGCCGGGGTCAGCAGGACTGTGGGCTGCTCTGGGAGCGTTCACCCCAGCGCCAGCCCCGCTGTGTTCTCTCTTCCAGCCCCGTCAGCAGCCGTACATCCTGCCTCCTGTGCACGTCCAGTGCAGTGAGCACTACTCGGAAACACACACGTCACAAGGTACTGTGCCTTGCCCGTGTCCCTTCTGAACGCAGAAGGCTGAGTGCCAGGAAGCCGTTGAGAGGTTTTTCTTCTTCTCAAGTGACAGTGATGCTTGCCTTTTAACATGGTCATCAGCTGTGTAACAGTAGCCAGCAGTGTCAGGCTGCGAAAGGCCTAAAATATTGGTTACCCCTAAAAGAACGGCTCCCCAGAATCGGCTGCCTGAGGAGCCGGGCCAGGGCACTGGGCAGTTCCTGTCCCCTCCGTTTTGTCTGTGGGCCAGGGGAGGAGAGGGACCACGTGGCCCACCTGCAGGCACTTCACCTTCATTGCCAGGGCTGGGAGCTGGGAGCCGTTGGTGATTTTCTCGTGACCGAGAAGGCAGCTCCACACACCCGGGAGAGACAGTCCTAGCCTCTGTCTCTGTGTGATTAATTGTCACATCTCAGAGTAAACAAAATTCGCCTTATTCCTTTTTTTCTTCCAAAACATCTCCCATGAGAAAATGCATGCAAGAACCCATTCCATTAGTAATAGCAGTTACTTAATTGTTAGTGATGACAACTAACAAACATAGAGCAGTTATGATGTGAGTGCCAGCCACTCTTAAGTACTTGGTCCATATCGTCTCATTCAATCCTCCAGATAAACTACGGGTACCATTATTATTTCCATCTCACAGGCAAGGAAACTGGGACACAGGGAGGTTGACGGTGGTGCCGGGCTATGCCGATCAGAAACCTGATAGCAGCCCCATATCCATAAAGGAGATGAGGGGCTAGAAGACCTCGGATGTCGACATTGTATTAAATGGAGCATGAGTTTCTGTGTTGCCACCTCCTGGCTATTTTGAATCCTCTGCAAGAGGAAAGTTTGAGCGTGGAAACGGAGACCATTTAATTTATCACACGAGTATATTTTGTAAGCACAGCTACTCTGCTTCTGGGGGAAGCTCCAAACCCCACTGGAAGCAGATAAATCGCATCACCCTAGCTTCCCCGGCTCTTCTGATCCCGTGTGGTTCCATACCTCTCCTTTTGGCACATGCTGACAAGTACAGTGAGGAGGAATGTGCTTAGGCCACAGAGATGTTTCGGCAAGAGGTTGCCTTCCTAGGGCGTGGGGGCTGTGAAGGGATAGTGCACGTCTGGAATGAATGGACCTGACTAGAAATCTGCTACTATATCTCTGTGCTCCTCACTGTAATTATTATTCTTATTATTTACTTGAACTGACCTCCTTGATGAAACCAGAGCTAGAGGAAGACTTCAGGAGAGGTTAAAAGAATTCTTGATGGGGCAGGCCGGGATTTAGCTCAGTGGTTTCGCCCCCCGCCGTGCAAGAGCAAGGACCCAAATTTGATCCCCGGTGCCAAAAAAAAAAAAAACAGGAACAAAGATTGCTTGGGCCGGGGATTTAGCTCAGTGGTTTCGCCGCCTGCTGTGCAAGCCCAAGGACCTGAGTTCGATCCCCAGTACAAAAAAAAAAGAGAACTCTTGATTCTCATTTTACCTACCATTCACTGCTGCTTAAAATGACCTAGCCTGGCTGATCTCCTGGCTGTGGTATTTGTTCTTTTCTTATGAATGCTTTACCATTGGGTAAAGGGACTTTCCTAGTGTAGTCAGAAAGAGCATGTGCAAGTACTGGGTAATTTCATGTCTATTGCCTTGCTGAAGTTCTTGGCCCAAATATCCAGTCCTGTTGCTGTTGTTGACCCAGGTATAGGAGGATGCGCCTGTCCACCGTAAGGGCCACTCTTGGGGTTTGATTGCAAAGCCCATGGCAAAATTGAGCACTGCGCCGTGTGCATCTTTCCCCATCTAGGCTCGCACTTTTCCATGTGCTCTAAAGTGTCCTTGTACAAGTTGGCCTCACCTGAGTAGTGTCAGTTCCTGTAGGGGGCGTGCGGGTGGAGGTCATGGGATCTCACCTTTTCTGACTTCCTTAGATTAAGTGGGCAGGAACTGTATCATAGGAACAGCATGGCGTGAAGGCTGCTGTGTGTGTTTGATTGTAGACAGTATTTTCCACGGGAACGAAGAGGCCTTGTACTGCAACTCTCACAACAGCCTGGACCTGAGCTACTTAAACGGCGCCGTCACCAACGGCAGTGTGTGCAGCGTGCATAGCGTCAACTCCCTTAGCTGCCCGCAGAGTCTCCTGCAGACCTCACCAGTGTCCTCCAACCTCAGCATCCCCGGGAGCGACATCATGCGGGCTGACTACATCCCCAGCCACCGGCACAGCGCCATCATCGTGCCGTCCTACCGGCCGACCCCTGACTACGAGACAGTCATGCGGCAGATGAAGAGGGGGCCCGTCCACGGGGACAGCCAGAGCCAGTCCCTGCGCAACCTCAGCCTGCTCAGTGCCCACGCCTACAGCCAGCCTGAGGAGCTGGTGTACAGCCAGCCGGAGATGCGCGACCGGCACCCTTACACCGCGCGCTACGCCCCGCCGCGGGGCTACGGCCATGCCCTGGTCTGCCCAGCCGACCCCGTGAACCCCAAGAGCGGTGTGGTGCCCAGCAGGCCGGGGGCCAGCGCCATCTCTCACACGGTGAGCACCCCGGAGCTGGCCAACGTGCAGCTGCAGGGGCCGCAGGGCTACAGCGCTGCCCACCTGCTCAAGAACTATCTCTTTCGGCCGCCGCCACCCTACCCCCAGCCCCGGCCCGCCACCAGCACCCCGGACCTGGCCAGCCACCGGCACAGGCACGTCAGTGGCAGCAGCCCCGACCTGGTGACGCGCAAGGTGCAGCTGTCTGTGAAGACCTTCCAGGAGGACAGCTCTCCGGTGGTGCACCAGTCCCTGCAGGAGGTGAGTGAGCCCCTGCCGGCCACCAAGCGCCACAGCCTGGAGCTGATGAGCAGCATGGTGCGCGGCATGGAGGCCATGGCACTGAAGTCGCTGCACGGCCCGGTGGCCCGCCGCAACACGCTGCGAGAGCGGGGCCCGCCCGAGGAGATGGCCCCGCTGCCGCAGTTCCGCCACCAGAAGACCCTCTCCAACGCGACCATGCTGATCCACAGCAGCGAGGACGAGGACGACGAGGAGACGCCCACAGCCGCCCCGCCGCACATGCCCGCCCTGCAGGAGAAGGTGGAGTACAGCGCCCAGCTGCAGGCCGCACTGGCCCGGATCCCCAACAAGCCCCCGCCCGAGTACCCGGGGCCCAGGAAGAGCGTGAGCAACGGGACCCTGGGGCAGGGCCAGGCCACCCCCACCCCGGCCGTGGCCAGGGCCCGGATGCTGAGGCAGGGACCCGCCAAGGTGCTCAGCGTTTCCCGGGCCGACCAGCTGGCCGTCAACGGGTCCGCCCTGGGCCCGTCCATCTCCGAGCCCGACCTGACCAGTGTGAAGGAGCGGGCCAAGAAGGAGCCGGTGAAGGAGAGGCCTGTGTCCGAGATGTTCTCCCTGGAGGACAGCATCGTGGAGCGCGAAATGATGCTGAGGGTGAGTGTCCCGTGCCCGGGGCTGGGGTCCGGCACCAGAGCAGGGGTCAGGCCTGTTCGGGGAGTGCGTTCAGCTCCCTGTGTTTCCTAATTCGTTTGTCTCCTCATTAGTGAATTTTAAACGTTTCTTCTGGACTACGTTCCTCGTGTGGAGTTGGCACTGTACATAACACGACTGAATTCTTATTCCCCTGCTCACCTCCCGCTTCCCCCGTCTGTTGGTCCCCTTCCCATCTGAGAGAGCTCTCCCTCCCTGATTCCCTTTATCTTTTGTTTTGCGCTTTCATTTCCATACACTTTGGATTTCTCACGTAAGAGAAACCATGCAATAATTTGGCTTCTGTGTCTGATTTGTCTCAGTTAACATTACAGTCTCAAGGTGCGTCCACTTTCCTACACATATCTCAGATTTGTCCTTCTTTATAGGAAATACCACTTTTTAAAATCCATTCATCTGTTGATGGTCTGCTTTTAAAGGATCATTAGAGCACTCTGAGAGGCTGAGGCTGGAGGGTCACAAATTTGAGCTCAGTGTGGGCAACCTATACAAATGGGGAGACCCTGTCTGGACAAAAGGGCTGGAGATGTAGCTCACTGCAGAGGTGCTGGGTTCAATCCCCACTGTCACCAAAACGAAATAAAAGCCTCCGTTACTGTTGTCCCAGAAATTGTTACTTCCTCAAAAAATTGAATGAAACCCAGCTTGACTTCTTTTCATTCACCCAGCTGGACCCCCGAGGAGCCAGTCGCATGGTGGGTTCACACTGGCTTTGCAGGGTTGGTGAGACTCCACTTCCAAGACCAAACTCCCAGTGGGAGTGGACGGGAAGAGAACAGCCAGGGCCTAAGTTTTCAGGAAGTCCAGAAACCTAATGGGAAACCCAGTCCCTGGCAACTTGCTGGCATGAGGGGTTTTCAGTACTCCTTCTCCCCAGGTCTCTTGAAAGTAGGACTGGCAGGAAGGGTTTGCGTCTGAGGTTCAGTCACAGGCCCCTGTTCCCTCGTTACCCGTATTGAACAAGCAGCCTGGAGCCGGCCATGGCCCTGGCCCCCTGCGAGGGTCTCCCTGGCCCACAGGGTGTCTGCAGTTCTTTTCCATGATGCTGTTTCCTTCCACTCACACGGATGAGAGTGCCTAGCAAGTTTCACCCATCAATTCTCTCAACTCCGGCACACGCAGGAGGCCAAGCGCTTAGACCTTCCGCTGGGGTCCTGATCTTAGAGGATGCGGCGGCCAGGATGGAGACCAGGCCACCCCAGGAGAGCTCTCCATCTGTTTCTAAATGTAGAGCCTCAGGGGCCTAACCTGACCCCAAGTCTCGCTCCCCTCTGGAGGAGGGACTTTGTTTTGTTTTCTTTGTACCAGGGATCGAACTCAGGACCTTGCACTTGTGAGGCAGGTGTGGTACCACTGAGCTAAATCCCTGGCCCTGGAGGAGGAACTTTAACGACCTGGAAGTGGGGGGCAGGTGCGGGGAGAATGTGCCCTCGGCAGCCTCCTTGTGATGAATGACTTGGCCTTGGCCTTTCAGGCTCCTTCCTCCGGTGCCCTGGCATCAGTCACCTCCCATCCCCCACTGGAACTCTGCTGGAAGTCGAGGAGGAACAGCAGTTCTTGTCCTGGGTGGAAGCTGATAGGCTGAGAAGGGGCCAGAGTGCTCCTGTGATGTCTGGTGCTTGGGTTTCAGGGAGCAGCAGGTAGACAAGAATCCTCACCCAAAAGACAGTCGAGTTCCTGTCTCAGGTGCAGTTGGGGTCCCTTCGGGGTGCAGGGGGAGAAGAGAAGGCAAGGACCTCAGGATTTTTCCTGGGACTCTTGCTTTCTCGGAACCTGGAGCTAAGAGGTGCTGGGGAAAATTACCTCTCACAAACACGAAGTGCTAAGCAGGCCACCCAAAAGGTAAATCCAGAATCTTCCCCCAGGGGCTGCCAGGAATTGAGAAAGGAGGCCGTTCCTAAGGGTCTCTTAGCCGAGAGTCTGTGGCGACTCGTCTCTGGTCACGGCTCACCCTGCTCGCTCTCAGATGCCCCCACGAGCCCCCACTCGAAGGCTGCCACGAACCCCCCCCCCCAGATAATCTGCTCGCCCTGTGTGATCTAACACCCCAGCTCTAGTGAGACACTTCCCCCGGAGAGTAACTTCAAAAAGGACACAATAAGAAAAAAGTCTCTAAGTGCTCGACTAGAAACCAGGGAGAAGAGACACCCTTCTTCCTCAGAAGAGTGCAGACGGCTCGCACTTCAGTTTCAGTCAAAATCTGTGTAAAACTCACCCTTTCTAGCCAGGCGTGGTCATGGTTGCACATGCCTATAATTCCAGCTCTGTGGGAGGCTGAGGCAGGAGGGTTCCAACTTTCAGCTCATCCTGGGCAAGTTGGGAAGAATATGTCTCGAGGTTAAAAAGGAATGAGAAAGGAGCTCAGTGCCAGGGCTCTGGTTCAGTCTCCAGTGCCGCAATAAATAAAACAAAACCAAAAACTCAGCTCGCCTCTTTCTGTCCTTAACAAAGCCCCTCTATTCTTCCTTTGACATCCAAGACAAAATTATTTTTGGGAACTGCTCAGCGGGCTGACTTCATACCTCCATCAGCTTTGAGGGCAGCGGGGGACCAGTAGCCAGGCCCTGACTGACCCAGGGCAGACGGCAGGTGCTGGTGAGGATAGAGGAGGTCAGTGGAAAAATCACTGACCAGGGCCAGGTGGAAACGTCAGCCCCTCCCCAGTGGCCCGGGCTCCCCATGCCTAAGTCACAGCCAGTGAGGTCCCGGCCTGGCCCCGGGGCTCCTGCCCCTCCTCCTCCCTGCAGTGCTCTGTTCTGGGGCTCTCCTACCCCTGGGTGCGCATCCTAAGGGAGATTCGCACCCTTAGGATGGACCCCCAGGAGGACCTTCCTGTCGCCACTTGTCCCTCTCCATCAACAACACTTTGCAGCAGTCTGGAAAAGGCCTATCATTGCGATTGGATTGGATTATTCGCATGGTTTTCTCTTTTCCTTGTCTGGTCTTCCTTTCGCCCTGCCTTTCTAACGGGTGTGGCATCGAGCCCTCCTTTTTTGTGAGCCCCGTGTGTAACACTGTGTGTTTGTCAGTCTTTGTCTGATGAGTGAATGAATTACAAACAGAAATGCAGGAGTCCAGCAGGAGCTGGCTTGCTCGGGCACCGTGGGGAGAGGCTGCCTGTGACTTTGCCCCAGTGATGGCGGTGGCCCACATTCCTTGGCTGGGGAGTTGCAGATTTGGGGAGATTGAAACACATTCCGGCCTCTGCTGGCCTGGTAAACAATGAGAACATGCCTTTTCTTGCTGCAAGAATCTAGAGAAGCAGAAGATGGCAGGCCTGGAGGCGCAGAAGAGGCCGCTGATGTTGGCAGCGCTGAACGGCCTCTCGGTGGCCCGGGTCACCGGCCGGGAAGATTGCCGCCATGAGGCCAGCCGGATTCCCATGGATGAGCGGGTGAGTGCAGGGTTTTACCGCTCCCTCCTGCCCGTGCGTTTGAGGGGTGAATTCTTCAGCGTGAGAGTAGGAAGACCAGCTGTGACTGTATTGTATTAAATGGATTCTTCCCAGCCCCTGATGATTCTTAATGCTCCATCAAACTGGAGTATCAGGGCTGGGCTGTAAGGACCAACCGTTAACAAGCTGCACGAGCCTGCGCTCCATGTCTTCTGGCTTGTGTTCTTTTTTTGTAAGATGAGAAAGTTAAATAATCTCTTCAGCTCTCTAGTTTTACGCTTGTTGTGAAGAGCTGTCATTTCTTAGGAAGTGATTCTTTTAACCAGGCATCTATAGAGATGGGTTAGCATGCTGTCCCCTTGGGTAGCTGTAAAGCATGGCCGATTTATAGATGTCAGGTTAATGCATGGTGAGGACTGTAGTTTTGAAAGGCAAACCGTTGCTGTGTGGTGGTGTTTCAGAGGTGAGGAAAGGTGTGGGGAGGTTAGGAAGCAGTTGCATAAATGGAGTTGAATGCTGCTAACATTAGGGTGTTAGATTTCTGCCGCAGCAGCGTATTTGGTATTAGAGTGCTTCTAGAGGACTGGGGGACCTCAGAGGGATCGTTCAGTCAACTAACACCATTCTGTTGTAATTAGCAGTTTGGCCAGGGAGGGAAACTAGCGAGGATTGGATTCCATGTTCCAGACCTATACCATTGTACATCAGTATTATCTTAAAATTTATCCCAGTAAAAGCAGCTGTGCTGGGCCGGGGATTTACCTCAGTGGTTCCCACCGCCTGCCTCGCAAGGATGAGGTCCCAAGTTCGATCCCTGGTACCAAAGTAAATAAATAAATAAAACAAAAACTGCTGTGCACATGGAGAAAAGACTGCGTGGGTAATGAAGATTAACTGATTAATCTGACTTTAGGTAGGCATTAATATCTAAAGTATTGATCTTAAATTTTGGTTCTCACAAATTTGTTTGATTTATAGCATGAGTGGTAAGGAAAATGGTTATTGGACAAGAAAAGCTAGTGACAGGGTTAATAATGAGACCAGATCATCCAGGATTGTGCTCCTCCAGGCACCTGTCACTGTAAATATCAGAGTTGTCTGGTGGTTCGGTTGGAGTCTTTGGGTGTGATGTCGCGAGAGCTGAAGGTTAACTTCCATTGCAGTTCAGAACCCTGAAAAAGAAGCTAGAAGAGGGCATGGTGTTCACAGAATACGAGCAGATTCCAAAGAAAAAGGCCAATGGCGTTTTCAGCACCGCGACTCTGCCGGAAAACGCTGAGCGCAGCCGGATCCGAGAGGTCGTTCCTTACGAGGAGAACCGTGTGGAGTTGATGCCAACCAAAGAGAACAACACTGGCTACATCAATGCGTCCCATATCAAGGTGCGTGCGAGAGGGGTGGCAGGCTGCAGGGCTAAAGGAAGAACATAAGGGATGCAGGTGGTGGATGCCTGTCGTCCAGTTGCTCTGAAGGCTGAGGCAGGAGGATCCCAAGCTGGAGACCAGCCTGGGCAACTTAGCCACTTTGAAGGACTCTATCTGAACATAAAATAGAAAGGGTCAGGGTATAGCTCGGTGGTGCAGCACTTGCCGGGCCCTGTGTTCAGTGCCCAGGACTGCCTAAAAAAAAAAAAATTGTGGGCTACAACTGTGTCTCCTGGCTTGTCCCCAGTCCCTGGGGGGTTCTTTTGAAGTCCCATGCTTTTCTTAGTCACCCGGAAAGGACATCAGTCACCTGTCCATGCAGAGAGAGGGACGCTAGCAGCCTCAGGTCAGCTACTTCTGAAGCTTGCTTATTACAGAGAGCCAGGATTTTTCTCCAGAGAGTGAGAACCCTCAGTAAACTCACGGGGAAAGGAGGATTGTCTTTCTCGGCTAGTGATTAGCAAGTGACGCAGGCTTTGAAAGTCACAGGTACCACAGTTGTTGAAGTTTTTATTCTGTTCCCCCGACAAAAGCTGTTTTCTTCCTTGTAGCACACTGTGGTTTATTCATTTTAGGGGTTATTCAGTTTTGCACAGTATTTAGAGGAGTGGACTAATTTAAACTATAAAAGTATACTTGGTATAGAATGCTGCAAGATTTGCAGTATTAGTCAATGAATTGGTAGTGTCAGATTTTTTTAGTATTTCTAATACTTCAGACCTTCATGTCTGTATTCAGAGCTTAGCTAGACACCAGCCAGCACTTGAAGTTGAGGAGTGTAAGGATCAGAAAGTACTGTTGGAAGGAACACGAAAGAACAACAGTCATAGATCATGTTGGCATTTTTGTTTTTCTGTTTGAGAACGAGAACCAAAACCATAAAAAATGAGCCCCAGGAAGCTCTTGGGTAAACTGATGGTGGGCTTAGTTTAGATTTTGAAATGTCGAGCGGAGTAAGGCACTCAGATTCAGAGGACACAGCTGCTTTTTGATGTAGTGTCTGTGAATATCTTGCAGAGCGATATTCTTTTCTCCTCGTCCTTTGGCCAGATCTCCTCCACCGTTTCCCATCTGCTCCCTGGAAAAAGCTGTCGCTGTGCTGGGCAGAGAGCCCTGCCGGGAACGGCTAAGTGTGCCTCCCTTCCTCGGCATTCTCCAAGGCCCACAGCTCACGGCCAGGACCCAGGGTAGATGCTGGTGCATTTCACAGACCGTGGAGCGTGCAAGGACTTGTCCTTGTGCTTTTGGAATAGGGCTGTGTATTCTGCCAATGTTTTCTCCCCTGGGTTCCCGGCAGTCGTTAACGCAGAGCAGAGATTTATTTGCTCCAGAGGTGGATTCACATCTGTGAAATCTACCTCGGTAGCACTGGCTGTGGGGTTTTTACTGCCGCTTTTAATTCACTCCTCTCAATAGTTGGAGTCCGCAGAGAGGCCCCAGGCAGCAGCGTTCTTGGGAAGGATTTATGGTTCCTATATGTTGGGTGCCAAAGAGCCTGATGTTTAAAATCACCATTGCACAGATAAACTGAACTCCTAGCCAGTGAATATATGAATGTTTCTCCCACCGCACTTGGAAAATGGATTTTTCGTGCCAACTTTGACCTAAACATGTCTCGTGTAATGAGACAATGGCTGACATTGGTTTTGCTTGAATGGAGTTACTGTATTGTTTCATAAAATAAACAAGCGGGGAAAGTTTCAAACAGCAATCATGCCATTGCTCCTGGAACCTGCTGGCATCCTGCCTTCCATGAGTGGGTGAGAAGAAGGCCTCTCTCTCTCTTTTTTTTTTTGAAACAGGGTCCCACTGTATAGTTCAGGCCAGCAGCCTTGAACTCACTATGATCGAGCTTGCAGCGATCCTCCTGCCTCAGCCCCCCGAGTGCTGGGATTACAGGCATGCGCCACCACACCCGACCTAAAGAAGGCGCCTCTTTGCAAGCCAAGGCGCAGGAGTGGAAGGAGAACAGGAGTCCCTGCCGAGGCCGCTGTTCCCCTTGTTAGCATCACCTTCCACATGTGGGGCTGAGCTTATTATTTCCGATTCTCTGCAGCCGGTATTTATACCTGGAGAATTACCCTCCCATGCTTGTCCTGAGCTGTGTGGGGTAATAGTTTCATTATCCCAGGTGACCTCGTGACTCCGTAGTTCAGTCACACTGAGTCGCACCCAGTGGCAGTGCCCCGGGTGATGGTGTGGCTGGAACACTAGGTGCTGGTGGAGGCAGGTTTGCGACATCCCTGTTGTACATGGGTCACACAGCAGCAGTGACAACAGGGGCTTGTGACCCGTGAGGTCTGTGCAGGAGGAAGACGTTACCTAGAAGTTACTCCATGGTGACTGCTTTTCAAACAGGTTCTCAACGCAGCGGTGGATTTGAGAGCCACTTTAATGGTTGGTTCTGTGTATGTTTTAAGGAAATAGACCAGGATGGACAAGAGAATGCAAGTCACAGGGTGTGCTGCACAGAGCTGCATAGCTATTGTTTCTGTAACGAACCCTGTTAGGTTGTACAGATATACGCTCATACACTGTTGTGTGCATCTCTGTATGAATATCTGCATATACTTTTAATGTGCACTAGTTGGCAATAACTGAATTGCAGACAAAAATAGATAAGGTTAATAATAAATTTTGATAGATTTGAGTGACGAACAAAGTCTTCTCATGTGAGAAGGTGCCACTGTCTATTACTGACCCGTTTGGCCCCCGGCGTACGACCAGGTTTGGAGGTGGCCGCACATGAGCAAGGTGTGCACGGGAGCCTCTTGGTCTTGGGGTTCATTTGCCGATGCTTCCTTGGCTGCAGGTGGTGGTCGGGGGAGCAGAATGGCACTACATTGCGACTCAGGGGCCCCTGCCTCACACGTGCCACGACTTCTGGCAGATGGTGTGGGAGCAGGGGGTGAACGTGATCGCCATGGTGACCGCGGAGGAGGTAAGGACGCACGTCCTTCTGGGACAGGGTGGCGAAGATCCCGGGCCATCCTGCCCTTGCGCTCGGTCTCTGCAGCCCCTTCCCCCTCAGCCTGTGTCTCGCCTCTTTCCGTGTCCACCCCACACCTGGCTAATGTGGCCCGGTGGCTTTTTCTCCTCCCATTTGCCTGTGACTCTCAACACTTTTCTTTTGTAAACAAAGCAACACAAAACCGAAAACAGCCACACTTGAGTCCCGGCAGCCACTTCCGGGGCGACAGCGCCCTCTCTCCCCTGGACTTGGAGATGGGGCCTCTGAGCACAGCGACCTCCCCTGGCGACCCAGGCCTGGCCGCCCGCAGGCTGAGATGGGACCAGAAGCTGTTGTCCCGGAGCCGAATCTGTTCTTTGGGGAGAGGAAAAAATCCCGTTTCTTCCTTTGCCAAGGCAAACACGGTTTAGGGTCGTAGCCAGGGCTCTGGGCTGTGTCCCAGAAATGGCGCTGCCCGTCCGCCGGGCCTGAGCTCGCTGCCCGGGAGGAGAAAAGCAGTGCTGCTTCTCTTCTCACATCTCGGTTCTTTCCCAACCATCTCCTTTTTGGCCCTTGCGTGAAAAGCCAGCTTCTGTTTCTGGAGTCACTGAAGGGAGCAGCTTCATGAGTTTTTACCGAGACTCGAGCGCTGTGATCACCCTTTCCTAACCTTGCATGGGCCGGGGGCCAGGGAGAGTCCAGGGGTCCTGTTGTTCTGGAGGGCTCGTTCCAGAACAGCCCATTGGAAGCTGGGGTGAAGGGGACACCAGTGCTCCCTGGGCAGACCTTCACCGAGCAGAGTGAATCCCCGTGGAGTCTCGAGGCTGGGTTCGTCCCCTTGTCAGGTGGCAGGGGTTCATCAGCAGAATATAACCAGGTCGTCTTGCCAAGCTGGGGCTCCGTGCTGAAGCGTGGAGCTCCTGTCCCCTGGAGCCGTGTCCTAGTGAGGGGACAGTACAAAGGAAGCAATGGATTCAGTGCAGGTGGCACCGAGTGCAGAGCGCGGACCAGGCAGGAGCAGGAGGGTGATGGGTGGGTGTGGCCTTAGTCAGGGCCCTTTTGAGGCATGGCCTGTGAACTGTCCCAGTTGTGACAAGAAGGGACTTGCCAGAGCCTGGGGATCTGAGAGACAGCCGGGGACTTCACGTCTCCACCCAGCAGGAATGCAGGCACTCTGCAGAAGTGAATTCAGCATCTCGGCAGGGAAAACTGCTTTGTGCTGTGAACTCGAGGCGCCTCCAGTAAACCCAGAGTACTGTGTCCCTTTCCACTTGGGTTGGCCCTGGAAGCTCAAGGCAGCTCCCTCGCAGGCTCTGTGCATGTCCTTCCCCCAACCACCACCGCCTTCCATGCTTCCCACCCCACCCGCTCCGCTCCAGGTATTTCAAAACTGTGGAAAACTTAAGACTAGACCTTTTGTGAATGATTGACAGTGTGTATTTTAAGAAAACAGGAAACAGCGAAGGGAGAAGACTGGTGATGTTGGAGACGCCTGCTGAACCTTGTCACTTCCCCTGTCCAGGGGCCTCCCGAGACCTCTCCCACCTCTTCTGCCACTCCTCTCATTGGCCCCCTGCCACTGCTGAGGACCTTTCTGCTTCTTGAACACACCTATGCTTGTCCCTCTCTGCACTTTGCACTCGCTGTTCTCTGAATTTCCCATTGCTGATCTCAGATCTGGTGATGAAGACGGTAAGAGCTTCCCCTGGCGTAATTTTCCATTTTGCTTTCGTGTGTGATTCAGGAAGGCGGACGAAACAAAAGCCACCGATACTGGCCCAAACTGGGTTCCAAGCACAGCTCAGCCACCTACGGCAAGTTCAAGGTCACCACAAAGTTCCGGACGGATTCTGGTTGCTATGCAACCACAGGCTTGAAGGTCAAGCACCTTTTGTCTGGACAGGAAAGGACAGTGTGGCATTTGCAATATACGGACTGGCCAGACCATGGCTGCCCAGAGGATGTCCAAGGATTTTTGTGTAAGTTTTTCCCCTTAGTCTTTCTTAGGAGGGGATGGTTTCTCTTAAGTGGCGAAAGTTTTATAACACTCAAGTATCTTTCCTTTTGTTACTGTGTCAATCAGAGCAGAATAACAGATACCACGAATTATAGTCTGTTTGCCTTTTATGCAAGTGAGCTAAGACTGTAACAAACTCATTGGCTACTCATTAATCAGTATGCGTACTGCAATATGGATGAGTTTTGCAGACTTTGCTTGACTCAGTGAGACCAGCCAGGCACAAAAGCACAATATTATACAATTCCTCCTACATGAGGTACGTAGAATAGGCAGAGCACATGGACAGAAGGTCAGAAAGTAGAATACAGGTTACCAGGGGCTGGAACAGGGCAAATGGAAATTGGCTGCTTCCTGTTTGAGACAATAAGTTTGGGAGGGGACAATCGTGGCTGCACAGTACTGTGGATGTACGTAGGGGCCTGAATTGTACTCTTCAGAGTGGTTAGAATGGTGAATTTCATGCTGTGCCTGTTTTTCCACAATTAGAAAAAGCCACAGAGAAACAGAATAAAAGCTGACTCGCTGTTTTTGTTTCTCACGAGGCCTTGCATCTCACAAGCCCAGTGCCTCCCTGCAGTAGTGATCTCAGTGCTTTCTCACATCCGTGACTGAGGTGTTCATGGTGGGGGAAATCAGCTTGTAGGTTTTGAAACTGAAATGTGCTCAGATGTCTGACTCGTTAATCTACATATTTTCTTAGGCTGTGATATTTCAGAAACCACTTCGCCAGAGTGTGGGTAGTATTTTATTTGCAAGGCCGGAACCCGGGGAGGGCCACACTGTGTGTCAGGCTCTCGATCAGGTACTGAAGATGCCGAGGTGAAATTGGGGGCATTGACAGTCCCTTGCGCACAGGGGTGCGCTCTCACCCCACCGTCTTCTCCTTGGAGGCTGCTCCCTCCCAGTCCCTTTCGGGAACCCGATTCCCCACTCACCTAGCAGGAAAGGACTTTTACCTGCTGCATTGTCTTCTGCATCTGGTGGCAGGCCCTGACCACCACCACCAGCGGCAATCTTCCAGGTGGTGGTCGGTGCCAAAACCTGGGTTTTTGTCACAAAGGGGGTACAGGGGCGGGTGGAGGAGAAGGAGTAAACATGAGAGAATAGGCTTTTAAGAGCCCCAAATAATCAGTGTACAAGCTCCATCAGAAAGATTCCGATGCGTATGTACTCCTGATACAAGGGTTTCATTTGCCATTAATGTGAAGATGGTACGGAGAGGCTGGATACTGAAGTGCAGAGTAGAAAGACGGCCAGAATCAAAGCCTCTGTAGCCAATGTGTAGCTCATCTTGGTGTCCAATAGCCCCCCCCCCCATGTCTTCTTTTTGTTCTAGCTCTAAGCTTGACAGAGGGTTAATGATTTGCCTGAGGTCAAACAGCCAGTTACCTTTGGCCCAGAGATCTTTGGAGAACTGTCTTTCCTCCTGGCTGTCTTCTTTGTTTATTCCTTTCAGATATTCTTTTATTAATTGACTTAACTAAAATTTTCTCCAAGAGGCAGGAAATGGAAAACTCTAGAAGTCCATTGGTTTGATGATTGGCTGACAGCCCTGATGAAACTCTGGATTTACAGGGTGGTCGAAAGGGAGGCCAGGTCTTTTAAATCAGAGCCAATTTATAGAAAGCCAGTCTAAAGGACTGACAAATACAAAGCCTATTTTCAAAGGATATAAATTGACTTGCTAAGTTATTTCTTGAAACCTCAAAGCAGGTGTGGTGTACGGGGCCTTAGATGTGCTGACCCTGTCTCTTGAAGGTTTTGAGGATTTCTGCCCGTGTTCAAATTTGATTACCTGGATGCAAGCCAAGTGCCTAAAGCAGATTGTCTCCCGCCCTCGGAAGTCTCCATCGAGTTACAGCTTCAGGAACTTTATTAGCGTGATTGATAGAGGGAGGAGCCATTCCAGTCCAGTTTCTCTGCTTTTTATTAAAAACTCTATTGGGAAGTAGCATGTGCTGAAATGCCCGACATTTTGTTTTTCTTTTTAAATTCAGCTCAAGAAAAGCTGTATATCTTGTAGGTGAACCCTTAGTCAGGCAGAAAACCCAGTTAGCTGATCTCTGCTGTCTTGCGGAGGAACCGCAGAGGGTTCTACACAGAGTAGGTCGCTCCTGTTGGTGCTCAACATTTAGCCCCTCCGTTCACCTCAGGGTGTTTTCTTTTTTTGTTTTGTTCTAGCTCATTGTATATTGCTACTAGTAAGTAGTACTACTGCAGTCAGTATAACTCATATTAATACTACTCTACTCGTCATCATTGTAAAAATAATAATAGTTTGTTTATTCAGTAAACTCCTACAGATTATTTTGTCTTTTTTTTTTTTTTTTTTTTTGGTACCGGGGATCGAACTTGGGTCCTTGGGCTTGCGTGGCAGGCGGCGAAACCACTGAGCTAAATCCCCGGACTTACAGATTATTTTGTAATTGGATGGGTTATAAAGGAAAATGCTGCTACTTATTAATTTCGTATGAATCGATGCTTTTAAATTCCTAGAATGGTTCAGGGTACTTTTTCTGTTCAACAGTTGCAACATTTCCCCTTGTTTACATTGTTCAATTAGGATGAGGTTTGAAGAGTATCCCGAACCTGTAAACCTGTCTATCCCCTGAGCTACTGCAAGAATCTAAATTACAAATTGACTTTTTCTGGCTTTTGGACTTTCTGGAGATTCCTTTATGTACTTTCCCCCTTTTCATAATCCTGGGGGAAGTCCATTAAGGCCTGTATTGCTGTCATTGTTCTTTTGCTTCCAGTTGGAGCTGTGGACAGTCCCCGGGGGCGGGCAGAGGTTGGGGGGCCACACCCAACCCCACACGGGTTGCTCCCCAGGGGGGCTGATCGTGAACTATTCACTACCCTCTTGGAGTCGCTGCTGAAAAGCACACTCCCCAGAGTCTCTTTTAAAACCTAAAAACCAAGTCCAGGCTCTTGACATTCACTGGTTGGGGAGGGAAGAGGAAGGGGCAGATGGCTGCTTTCTCTCCAGCCGAAGTTGGCTCTGACACGAGGGCATTTCAAGGGGACTTAGCTGCTGTTCTGATCCCAGTCTGTTAATGGTAGGGGTTGCTGTAAGTAATATCTAGAATCATCTGCTTGGGGGACTTTGGGATTTGTGGAGGGGAAAACAGAATTTAATTTTTAAAAAAGAAGTATTTAATTTAAAGAACAAATTCTCCCTTGGACTAATTGACTCCCAGCTGGTCCTTTCTGGATCCAAGACTGTATAGCAGGTACCAGCCAAATAATTAATATCTTGTAAGAACTGTAAATTATCATCACTTAAAAAAACAAGAGCGATCTACCCTCCCCCAAATCGTATGTAGAGCCACACAAGATTTGGTGACAAGATACGGGTTTTGTCCCACAGCCTACCTGGAGGAGATCCAGTCGGTCCGTCGCCATACCAACAGCATGCTGGAGGGTACCAAGAACCAGGCCCCTCCGATCGTGGTCCACTGCAGCGCTGGCGTGGGCAGGACCGGCGTGGTCATCCTGTCGGAGCTGATGATCTATTGCCTGGAGCACAACGAGGTGAGTCAGCCGGTCCCGAGGAGCAGGTCTGCACCGTGGTCACGCCTTCGCCTGGTCCTTTATGTTCAGGGGTTCATTTCCACTCTCCTGGCCAGAGTCTTCCAGACCCTTGGTTCCTGGTGCGATTCTGATTCTGACATTTCCAGCCTTCCTAGTGTTTGGCCTCTCATTACTTTTCAGAAATCCCCAAAACAGTGTAGAAGAAATATTCAGAAAGTCCCGTCAAGTCCCGGTCTCCTCCCAGAAGCTGACAGTCTGGCCGGATTGTGCAGAATCTGCTGTGTGGTTGGGGTGTTTGTCTCTAGAGTTTAGATGTGTCTTGCAGATGTGTCTTTGGCCTAAATCCCTTGTGAGAATGTGCCCTCTGGGAAATGCTCGCCATTCTCCGAGTCCTTGCTGTTGTCCAGATTGGGGGTGGGGTGCAGCAGAGTAGCACAGATGCTCAGCCTGGGCATCCGTGGATGCTTCCGGCCGCAGAGTGGCTGCTCTGAGCTTGTGCCATGCTGGGTGGCATCCCTTGCCCGCCGCATGTTGAGGGAGTCACCCTGAGAGACATAAACCTGGCACTTTGAAGATGCAGGGAGAGGCAGCAGCCTGAGCTGTCCCTGCCCACACCAGCTGGACCAGTGGCCTGGAGGAGAAGGGGACCTCACCGTCGCTGCCCATTTCCAAGGCTTTTCCTCCCCTTGGACCACTTCCGGCACTAGTGTCTCCTTCCTGTTCTTCCCACGCCCATACTTCCTCTGCCCCCAGTGCCCCTTTGCAGTTCAAAAAGCTTTTGGGTCTGTCTCATCTGACCCGAGCTAGGGTTCTGTTCAGAGTCCTCTGGGAGGCCTCGCCCCATGCAGCAGTGACGTGGGTCCCCTGCTCCCCAGATGCGATGGTGTGTGGGATGCACACAGCGCACACTGAGGCCAGCACGGCTGCAGTGGGCTTTTAGGCAGGCAGGGCCTCGGTGAGGCTGGACGGAGGCTCAGCGGTGAGATCCATCCCCTCCATGCCCAGCCAAAGGCGGGGCAGCCTTTGGTGGCTGGTGAGCCGTCCCGGACGGAGAGCGAGATGACCTGCAGCTCTCACTTCCTTTCTCCCAGCACGGACGCAGCTCTGTCCGTCCTGTTTGCCACAGCTGCTGTTGAAGGTGGTCCGCAGTGCCCTGTGTTTTGTTCTGATGCTGCGCCAGGCCTGGCTCCTCAGATTCCAGCCCATTTCAGGGGGAGAGTGGAAGATGTTTAGTTCATTTTTGAAACAGAGTTTTGACAAATGGGTGTGAAATTCTGTGCCCCCTTTTCTCTCCCCTCCAAACATTCCTGCCTTAGTATGGGTGACTTGATTAAAAATACACTGTGTTTGGGCCAGGGATTTAGCTCAGTGGTTCCGGTGCTGGCCTCGTAAGCGCAAGGTCCCGAGTTCGATCCCCGGTACCAAAAACAACAACAACAAAAAAAATTGATCACAGTAGAAGATACATGGCCATTCATCCCCCTCAGAATCCTCACCCTGGCTTCAAACACAGCCATCCCGTTGCTCTTGCCCTTCCTGACGCAGCTCTGGAGTTCTCTTTCCCCAGTCTTTGTGCTGTTGTGGCTGCTTCAGTGTCCTGAACTGATTCAGAATATTCTCCTTTCCTGGTCATTTTGGCCTGCAGGGAGAGCCAGGAGACACACAGGGCCGGTTGTGCTATCCAGGCTGCCCACAGTGTGGCTCGAGACACTTGGTGTTTGCCTGGCTGTCCTGGAGGGGCACATAGTTATCACTGTCGAGCACACGGGTTGTTTTTATTAAGAATGGACGCAGCCCCAAATGCCTTAGGGGTGCTTTGTCATTTGATCCTGCAAGGGAGACACTGTTTATTTCCTCACAGTCTCGCTGAGGAAGTGCTGCCAACAAGGGCAGAGCACCAGCGATGGCCTGAACCCCACCCACCAGTCCTATCGAGCAGAGTTAACCAGGTTTAAAATCCCACACAAGTGGCACCAGTACCCAGGTCCTCCCACCGCCTGTGTAGACTGATTTGTGACACCCCGTGGGGCCGAGGTCTTTGCTTTATCTGGGGCTGAGCGTGCCGCAGGCTGATGCTTGCTGAAGGAGGGAGAAGGGTGGCCCTGGGGAAGCTTCCTGTCTCAGCATTGTCCTTTCCTGTCCTCTCGGCAGAAGGTGGAGGTCCCCGTGATGCTGCAGCTGCTCAGGGAGCAAAGGATGTTCATGATCCAGACCATCGCTCAGTACAAGTTTGTCTACCAGGTCCTCATCCAGTTCCTCCAGAACTCTAGACTCATATGACTCCCGTCCGCTCCACACGCAGGCGGGGTCCCCTCCGGCCGCAGCAGGGACCCGGGGCCTGCGGCAGGAAAACAGGAGCGGATCACCCACCAACATTGTGTATTATTTTATATGAGATAATTTATTCTTTCCTCTTTGGAGTAACTTTGACGAATTATTATAAGGCAGTTTTCACAGTGATGGAGTACGTTGCATTTGAACCACATTTTGACTGATCTGTGTCATGAGATGTCGGTGGTGAAGGCTGCCTGGTGGGCCACTTTGGGGACAGAGGCAGGAGGGAATGCATCTCGAGTGAAGTGGCAGCCAGATCTGTAACCGGCCTGAAATTCATCGGCTTAACTGCTCATGTCAAAAATCAATGGCAAGAAAATGAATTCATCGGGAAATAGAAGGCAAAGGGCCAAGACCCTTCCGGAAGGGAGAGGCACTGTTCTCTTCTATTCTGAGGGCTCATGAGGCTTGACAGAGTTTCTTCTCTTCTTTATTTCTGCCTTCATCCTTAGTAATCTCTTCTCTCACCACCCGTACCCCCCGAAACCCAAGCTTGTGTTAAAGGTAGGAAAGAGGAAAGGCGACACCTTGGAAGACGGGAATAGCACCTTTCAGGCGAAGGAGTTGCTCGAGCTGTGTGTTTTTCTCTGGGCTCTGCAGCCTGTCTCCCGTGTGGGGCCTGGTTCCGGGAGCCTGCTGCTTCTCCCTTCGCTCACAGGTCCTGACCTGGTGGTGTGGAAGCCCGGGGCCAGGCTGTCCTCCCGCTCAGTCTCTTCTCTGGCTGGAAGCGGACAGGGGAGCAGCACAGGAGGAAGGGAGTCGGCAGGGCTTTGATGGTGGGCCTCCGTTAAAGGTGATGCGAGGAGCACTCAGTGCCTGCAGGTCGAGGGCTGGGTGTGTTGCATCTCCGTCAGTCACTGTCAGAGGAAAAGTCTCGCAGGGAACAGCTGGGAGCACTGCCTGCCAGCAGCCGCTTGGCACGTAGGTGCGGGTCCCGGCCAGCATCACACACTCGGGGCCCCGCCGTGGGCACGGAGTTGAACTCAGTCTGCATCTTGCTGTTCTTGGTGAAAGGTGCCGAGTGTGTCACTCACCAAGCTCCCCTCTTTCGTCCGTTCTGAATTTCTTAGGTCAGTGCACAGAAATCATGTCACACTCCTTCCTTCTTCCTGACTTTTGGGCACTTTTTCATTCAACGTCTCTTTTTCTTGAACACAACTTTTGCATTCTGGTTCTGTTCTCAGAATCCACTTAGGTTGGTTGTCCCATGTACTTTCCTCATCGCTGTCTGGCTTTGTGTTTTGTTTTGTTTTCCTGAGCTGAACAGACAGACAGAGCATGTCAAAGTATCAAGTGGAAAGAGCCATGGCTCTGGGACTCCCTGCCACATCTCAGAACCGGCGCCGTTGGACGGTGACCCAACTCGGCTTCACTTCCGGCCAGGGCGTGGTGGTAGTGCTGCAGGTGTAGACTCGGAGTTTCCGTCTGGCAGTGTGGACCTGCCCCGTTTCGTCTCCTCTGAGGTGTGAGTCAGCTCAGGAGCGAGACTGCCTCTGAGCTCTGTAGATCCCAGGATCTTGGTGTGTGCTCTGAAAAGGAAACCATTCACTTCCAGCGAGACAGAGATGCTGATCACCAGGTTGAAGGGATTGTGTTTCCAGTTCCTTAGAGACTTTTTGGCCTGGGGACAGTCTTAACAGTTGGCCTCGGTTCCCAGTTTACTGTGTGAAGAACTTCAATATTTCTCTTTCCTCTCTAAGCCCCAGCGTGGGCACTGGGGAAGTGGCTTGTGTGGGCAGCATGCAAATTTGACATCTCTTTGGGCTCATCATTCAGGGCTTCCTTAGAACCATCCACTGTTCCCATCTTGTGCTACTAGAATGTTTACTAAAGCACAGGATGCTGGGAGGAAGTGGGTATAATATCCAACTTCCTAGCCAGAGTTTATATGCACACCCAAAGGGAAACATTCAAGTTATTCCATACATTTTATTTTTTAAAAATGCTTCTGCTTCTTTAGCACATTTTGCATTCTTTTCCACATCTCCAGTGAATACCAACGTTATCTCCTGTTAAATTAGCAGCAGCCAGTTAAGTCCTGTTAGTGGCATCTGCATAATAATTATCCAGAGATGCTTTATATCTGGGAAGCAAGCCAAGGAATAAACCTTGAAGCAAAGTGTATTAAATTAGTTATCTAGTTAGAGTTTTTGGAATGATTTCCTGATAATGTATCAAGTGTGAAGCTGGAGCTGTCAGGGTCTATTGCTGCTGGTAGGATTAGAAGAGAGGAAATTGAAAATGGAGGAAATGAAAGAGAGCATCTCAGACTCAAGCTGTCCAGACGTTTTTCCTGCCTCTGGTTCTGAAGTTGCCCAGTTGAAATACTTTGTCCTTTCATTTGCTCTCCCTGGGATATGTGGACCTGGTGTTCATCCTGGTGCACGGTGGTCCCTTGATGTCTTTGTCCCTGACACGAGGAGAGGTGGTGGCCTGCAGTTGGTTGTGCTGGGTTCTAAGGAGATGCCACCTTCCAGCCGGAAACCCCGGCAGCATTTGCAGGTTGCTGGCTCATCTCCACCCAGCTCTGCCATGCATAGGAAGTAAGGATCCAGCTGCGTTAGAGGAGAACAGAGGTTGATTTCTTCACATGAGAGCAAAGGTGCATGTTTATATGCAAGTGAACCAGCCGGGGAGGGGGCAGACATCTCTGCGTGGAATATTTTGAGTAATAAGCTTTCAGGGAGCTTAGATTGAATTTTACTTGTACAAACTTTGTGACTAGATTGACAGGAGCTACTTCTGATGGTGACGAAGCCACCCTGCTTTGCCGAGGTACTTGGCAGGTCTCCGGCTGGGCTCCTGCAGCCTTGGTCCTGCCTGCTCTCGGCTTTTGCTTTGTTATAAACTCCAGTGGGCATGGCAGGCCAGCATTTCTAGCCAACTAACTACTTTTTCTCATCGTTTCTAGTTTAATACAGGTTGACCCTTGTGGGGTTTCTAGTAACCGAGCCTGTTTTCTGTGAACTTGTCTCTTCTCCCTGCAGAGCACGGGTCCCAACACTCGTGCCCTTCCTGCAAGTGAGGGCAGTTACACAGGAAGTGTGCAGGACAGGCAGCCTGGTGAGAATCTTGCCGTGGTGATGCGAGTGGCTGTGTCCCAGGGCTTGGAAGTTGCTCTTGGCAGAGGCACTGTTGGCCCCGACAGGCTGGGCTGGCTGTCGGGGACGTCATTACGGGGTTTCCAGCTGCTGCCCTTTGTTGATGCATCCTGTGTGTTGATCTGGATTGGCCGACTGTGGTCCAGTTGTTGCAAAACAAGATGTGAATCCCAGAGGTGCCGATGATTCTCATGGCAGGTGAGCGGGAGGACACTAGCAGGTGTGTCGGGAGCATGATTGGCTCAGCCCGCGCTGGCTGTTGGTGTTAAGTCTGCTTTTCGTTCGTCCCCAGTGTCTGGAGACTGGGACACTGGGGCGCCTTAGAGTGAGGATTCCCAGAAGTGCCAGGGGGTCCCCGTGGGGGGTCTCTTACGATGGCCTTCGCCACTGGGCTTGCAGCTTTCCCATCTGACCAAAGACCCTGTTGCTGTGTCCCATTTTGTTGCCAGTGGTTTTGATGAGACATCCACCATGCTCTTGTTTAGTGATTCCTTTCTCGAGCAGAGTATCAGCCCCTCCAGCTGCCAGATGGAGAAGTAGGAGTCTCCCCTGAGGGGCCTGCCTACAACCTGGTTAGCTCTGCAGGGCGTAACTGAGCTTAAGGTGGGAATTTGCATTTGACATTTCCCACAGAGGAGATGGCTCTGGTCTTTACCTCAGGCTCTGAGTCATTTGGGGGCAAAACACCTTGCTGGTGACCATGTTGGAAGGGGCGGCACTAAGCGTGGCAGGTGGGTGACGGGAGGCCCGCGACCAAATCCTGCCAACCTGAGTCGCCAAGAGGTGGTGTGGCTCAGAGGACCCTTTGACACCCGGCCTCAGTTTAACCAGTCAGGACCTGGCATGTACTCCGCCTGCTTGCAGCCTCTGCATGTCCATTATACACTCAGGTAGCATTTTAACCAGTGGACCACATTTTTATCATTTCCAGTTTGATGTAGCTGCATCTTCTTTAAGATCAACCTGTAAAGCTGCCCATGACCACACCGTGGGCCTGGCACTGAGCATCTGGTGTTGCTCCATTGTACCACAAGGCCTGCAGTGTTTCGTGGCGCAGGGAAGGGGAGAGTCTTTGTCTGGCACTGCTGATCCTGCCTTTGTACCTCCTTCCCAGTTTAAAAATAGCCTGGGGGACCCCGAGTTGTAAGGAAGGAGGCCAGCAGGCACCCTGCAGGTGACAGGTGTCTGTCGCTATCCTGCTATCCTGCCTTTACATTCTTCCTGAAAATTGCCCTACGTTTGCCCAAAGGGGAGCCCTCCATGGGGGAGCAGATGGCACCTCAGATCAACCTGGGTTTTCTGTCCAGAGGCTTTCAAAGGCTCGCGGTTTCTGGAAGCCTAAATGTCTCTCTTCCTCCCCATGACCTCGGTGTCGGGGAGGTGCTGGGGTCGCTTTCATCCTGGCCCAGGAAGCCAGGGTGCAGCCAGGACACAAAACCCCAGAGGACCCCACAGGGGACTGCGGTGCCCCCGCCCTGGGGGCCAGGGCTGGAGTCGACTTCCTCCTGGGCCCTGAGGGCTCCTCCGGCAGTCTCGGCTTTTCTGGTGGCTTTGTGGCTCAGCTGTCCACAGTGCTCTTTTACCTGCCCGATCCCTGCAACCCTACAAAAGCCTTAAGCCTGGGCCCAGCAAATCACGGTCTCAGACCTCTCCAAAATGTGCACTTAGCTAATTTTTGTTCTTTTTTTCACAAAGCTGATATAGTTTCAAGGAATAAGATCTGGTAAGAAAAAACACCAGGAATGAAGACAGCTAGGAAACCGTCAGCAAGCTGGGCATGGTGACTCAGCCTGTGACCCCAGGACTCCAGGAGGCTGAGGCAGGCGGGTGGCAAGTTCAAGCTCAGCCTGGGCCACTGGGCGACTTACAGGGTGGCTCTGTCTCGAAAAATAAAAAAGACAAGTGTAGCTCAGTGCATAGACCCCAGGGTCAATCCCCAGCATCACCGAAAAAAAGAAAACTGTCAGCAGCCAGGCAGCCACCGTTAGCCGTGTTTTGCTTCCTGGTGCAAACTTGGTCCCGGAGGAAATGAGAGAAAAGTAGGAGTGGGTCTGTTTAAATCGCGGACAGCTGTGGGCCTAAGCTCACCATCAGGGGGACTTGGACAGCTTTGAAGTGGCTGCGACTGCTGCACCGTAGACTCATGCAGTCTGACTGGTTTCTTCTGGCGTCTTCTGCGTCCCAATCTCTACCCAGACTGGCCACCTCGTGAGACAGGGCACCCGGCCTCGGGGACACTGAGGGCATGGGGGTCAGCGCGTTATCCAGGCAGGGCAGGGGGAGCTGCCCGCCTGTCTGCCCACCTTCCCACCCTTTCCTTCAGGGAGACGGAAGAGCCGCCGCCTCAGAGGTGCAGCGTAGGGTGCAGCTTTGCAGTCTCTGGGATGCTGCTCTGGGGTTCCTGGGCCCGGCCTCCTGGGCGCTGCTCTGCTCAGGGCCCGGCCTCCCCTGCTGCAGCCTTAGCTGAGAAATACGTACCTTCAGCATCAGCGGACGCTGTCCTTCAGAGCTATCCATCTTCTCTTTCAACTTGAACATTGTAAAATTTTACACAACTTTCTCTGAACCTTCTTGCCACTGTGCGGTATCCCCAAACCCTTTAACCTCATCCTTTCAGACAAAGGGTCTCTCTTCGTCAGAGATGATTTCCTGTGTGTTCTTGGTGCCTTCTGTGGCCAGCAAGCCTGCCTGCGGGTACCGTGGGTGTAGAGGGAGAGGCCTGCATGTGCAGGTGACTGTTCTACACGCAGACCCTCCTGCAACCCGTGTTACATCACATAAGAGGTCGGTCTAGTTTGTGTCACTGGACTGTTGTACTCTGCTTCATTCAGTATTTCGATGCTTTTCTTGGTCTGTGTTTTGTAAAATGTTGCAAATTTTGGCATCCTTCAAAGTAATTCGCACGTACAGGTTTTGGTTTGAAATGATATACAAGACCCCAGGGGGCCAGCTTACAGGCACTGACTGGCTCCCTCCACACAGCCTGCGTTAGGGAGATTGTGTTGGCTTTGGGGGTGACCCAGAAGAGCAGCCAGCACCCCTTCTGTCATCAGTGTTGAAAATGCATTCCAGGCTGGGGCTTGGAGTCCCCAGGACACTTTGTCCTCCCCGAGGTGACTGCTCGCTACTCTGCAAGATGGAAGCTCAGCCTTCACTACCAGAGGATAGCTGAAAGAGACACGGGACTGAGAAGTGGAGGCACATTCCCTGAGCTGGGAGGGATTTTGTCTGGAGCCACGTCAACTGTGCTTTGGTATAGACTCCCTTCCAATTTGATCATGTTAAAAGCCTTAAGTAAAACTATGCATGCTTTTTCTATGTGCTATTTTATATCAGTAAATAAGCTTATGCTTGCCAGTTTCATACACAAGGGTGAGGTGTGTAAAACTGACTTTGACAGTATTTTTTGCACTGTTTCCTGTCTGTTTTTATAAAGTCTTATTTAGGTGTCAGTCTTAGCGGAAGTCCTTACTGCCATCATCGTTACTGTAAAATATTTCATATGTGCCTTTACAAATGTGAGATCTTTATTCTAACCTTTTTTGTAAGAGATATATATTGATTTCCATACACAATAAAACCTTTTTTCAGAGAAAATGGTGAAGTCTCACCTCTTCTGTAGTATGTATGTTTGCATTAATAGAAGGCACCAACGTTGCCTACTCGTAAGATGCTTTTCCCAGCGAAGGTGTCTAGGGAAGCCGGCCTTCTGGTTCTTACAGCGCCCTCACTGCCTCCCACTGTGTAGTCCTAAATAAAGTCATTGTTTGGGGACCTTGAAGGGCCTGGTGGCCAGGTAGATGGGTGGAGAAATGCAGAAAAACAGGCCTTTGTCCCTACGTGGTGGTAACTCACTGAGCTCCGCATGTGGACGAGGCTCCAGGTGCTAGAGAAAGCCCAGGTTCTTGGTTTTTGTCTCTCACCTTTATAACAAGAGCTCAGCTCACCTCTAGGTGTAGAAGCTGCTGCCCTGTCCTGTATGTTCAGCCCGTCGCGCCGTAGCACATGAGGCAGACGCTGGCTTTCATGTCTTTGATAAGGAGCAGGCAGCATAACAGCCTCTGCCAGTGACCCACCTGCCACCTGCCATGCCCAGGCCACACACCTGCCACAGGCCCCCTCATGGTTCCCGGTGCATCAGGGTGAGAATGCTGTATACGGACCACTCTGAGTGGGAGGGCAGCAGGCAGCCTCATTAAACACAGAAACAGGTCGAGCTTGGTAGTGCACACCTGTAATCCCAGCACTTGGGAGGCTGAGGCAGGAGGATTGCTGCGAGTTCAACACCAGCCAGGGACCCACAATTCAAAGCCAGCCTGAACCACACAGCAAGATCCTGTCTCCAAAAAACCACACAAAAACCTCACCACAGAATGTGGGTGGGACAGAGGACAGGAAAAGACTAAAAACATGCAGGGTTATTTTGGAGAAGTAAATGTGGGAGAATTGTCAGACAATTTTCAGAACACAGGGAAAGATGAACCCTTGTTGATACTGAAAATTCTGCAGGGCTGTCATTTTTACTGGCAGCAGAACAGGCAGCTGAGAGGCATGAACTGGTGCACGAAGAGGCCAAGCCATACAGTAACAGGACGTCCAGGTCAGCAGGGAGGGGGTGGCTTTGTTTCTCACGAGATGGTAGGGAAAGCGGCTAGCAATTTCGAAGATCAAAATTAGTATAGTGGGGGGCTGGGGATTTAGCCCAGTGGTTCCGTCGCCTGCCTTGCAAGCGCAAGGACCCGAGTTTGATCTCCGGTACCAAAAAAAAAAAAAAAAATTAGTATAGTGGGATACCTTAATGAACAGTTCCAGACAGACCAAAGCCTTGAAGTTTTGTTTCTTCATTTAAACACAAAAAAGTCTGCTTTTCCACCACAACTGTCCTCCGATCTAATGGACTATCAGGGTAACAAATCTTCGTACTAATACAAAGACCTAACACTGCCCCACTGTAGTCTGAGCTAATAAATGACAGCCGGTGCGAACTAAGCTAAGGGGGTGCCCACTGTGGTCCTCGGAAGACTCTCAGTGCTGTTTTTGGGTCCTGTGCTGAAGCTCTGGGTTCCATCCCCAGAACTGCAAAAGAAAAAGTGATGGGAGAAAAACCTCGGGAGCCCCTTTTGCTCTGTCCAGCACCCAGTGTCTCCTGCTCTCCTGAGGTGACTGGGTAGACCTCAGTGGCCCTGGGCGGAGGCTGAGTTAGCACCCTAGGCCCCAGACCCATAGCACCAACTTCGGGGCATTGAATCCACCACAGTAACGGGACCACCATGGAAGCCCCAGACCATGGGCCGTGGGGCCCTTCGGAGGGGGTGGGTGGTCGTGTGTGCGGGACGGGGCAACCATTTACATGCCTGGTCTCCAAGGGGTTGGAGAACAGGTTGATGGATGAGCAACTTCCACACACTGGGGATGGAAATACGAGAGAAACGCCTCAGCCATGATTGTCAGTCACAGGTGTGACTTCCAGCCAGGTATGAGTGACACTGCACGCCTGTAAGCCCAGCGCTCAGGAGGCTGAAGTAGGAGGATCACTGGAAGTTCAAGGCCAGTATGGGCTGCACAGTAAGCCTCAACTACATAGACCCTCTCGCTTTCAAAATAATATATAATTATATATTCTGATTATAACACTATCAATTTAAATATATGTCAAGATGCTCAACATGAAACAAAACATCTCACACATTAGATTGGGAATTAAAAAAAAAAATGACAGTATTGAGCGAGGACTATTATATCCAGTTGGTACCTGATGCTGTTTTTTACAAAGGAAATTTGGCCATATTTATTCATTTGTAAAAAATGTTCTATTTGCTCCCGAGATCGCGTCCCTGGGAATCTGTCCCTAGTGCTACATCGGCAGAGCCCTATTTCAGACCGTGCTTCACTGTGGCACAGCTTACAAGAGCGCCTGACAGGAAACCTGCCCGCACACAGTGGGTAAATTACGGTTCCCGCAACCAGAGGCAGAGCTCAGGTCCCTGTTTTCCGAGCTGTGCCTACATAGGAACAGGAAACACGCGTGGAGGAAACGGGAACCATGGAGTGAAGCGCGGAGTGGCTACACCTCCAGGGGGCGCCAGTGTGGGCGAGAGCAGCTCCCGTTTGTATTCTCGGAATTTACTGAGAAAGCCGCTTAAGTAAGTTTTATGCACCCTACAGAAACGGTCATCTGAATGTTTTTTAGGCTTGGAACCTACAGTAGGCGAACACCTTTGAAATCCTAAGGCCCCTGACCCAGTAGTGCCTTACCCTCTCCCTGCACCAGGGGGCGCTGCTCTACGTATAGTAGGTGCTCAATAAAGGTTTCCGGACTGGCGAGCACTGCTGAGCCCCAATGTACGCAGTGAGCGGGCGGGGGGCGTAAGGGGCGAGCAGGCACTGCCTGCGGATTCTCAGCCATCCAGGCCGGATTCCGCCCACGTGACCGCCGGCCACATGACCGTTGCCCATGGAGGCCCGAGAGGCCCCCTGGCTCCTCCGGTCCGTTGCTAACAAACAGTTCCAGCTTGCCCCGCGCAGGCTGGGGCTGCAGGACGTGTGGGTGAGCAGTGTTGGCTCACAACATACGGTAAGGAAGGAAAACTTTTTCCCTTCTCTAAAAAAGGAGAGTCCTGCGCAGAACAGAGGGTGGGATGAGGTGGAGGGGAGGGTGGCTTTCAGAGGGGCGGAGAGAAGCAGCCAGGAGCGCCCGGCCAGCAGTGTCCCCACCCGGGGCAGCGCCCAGAGGGAGGCCCGACCCTGTGCCCCCAAGAAGCACGCGGCCCGGGCAACGTGTGGCTTTTATTCTCTCATCATTCGAGTTTGTCTGCAGCACTGCAGTAGGCATGAAGGGAAAAAACTGCGCTTTAAAAACCATCGGCAGGACACGATGTATGAACCCCTGACCTCGGGGAAAGCAAGCATCGCAGCGCAGCGAGTCTGGGCTCGGTCCATGGAGGCAGCCTCCGAGTGGCCCGGCAGGGGCGAAGTGCAAGGCGTGTTCCCACCCTGTAGGGCTCTTGCGTGGGAACGGCCAGGCGTGGGTTCAGCGGCTCTCAATTTCCCGTCTGATCTCGGAAATGTACGGGTGATCTTTGCCGTGGGCGACTTCCATGATGGCCAGGGCCTAGGAGAAGCGGGGACAATGAGTGGCCGGTGCCCGCAGCCGCCTGCGTCCCAGCCTGGGAGTCCAGACTCGGGTGACCGACGGTCATCCAGGGCCCGCTGCCGACAGGACATCCTGCAAAGACAGCGGGAGCCGAGCACTGGGCCGCTAAGCGGCACCCACTTCCGCCTCAGGAACCAGGAGATCAATGGCTGGCAGGCCGGGTTCGAGTCCCCGCACGACATGAGGGTCACACCGGGCCCACGGGCAGCCGCTGAACCCCGACAGCAGCCGCCTGAGGCCTGGACCCCCCACCCCAGGTCCTCCAGTCCTGGCGTGTGTGTGCCAGAGAAAGGCCGAGTTCAGCTCTGAAAGACTCCAGCTTTATTGCAGTAGGAGCTTCCCACATGCTGGGCAGGTGCTCTACCCATGAGCTACCCCTCCAGCCCTTTTTATTTTTATATTTTGAGACATGGTCTCACTGAATCACCCAGATTGGCATGGAACTTGGGATCCTCCTGGTTCAGCCTCCTGAGAAGTTGGGATTACAGGAGTGAAGCACCTTGCCTGGCCGGACCCCTCTCTGAATGAATGTGCATGAAGGCTCTACCATGGACCCCAGGCTCCCTACTTTTTTGAGATAGGGCCTCCCTATGCGGCCCAGGCTGGCCTCCACCTCACAGCGATCCTCCCGACTCAGCCTCCCAGCCTGCCCCACTTCAGGGGTGGAGGTGGCCAAACCCCAGCTTGTGATGGCAGCCGCCCCTTCTACTGCCAACACACTTCAGTTCAGACCAGGTTCGGGCCAGCCCCTCACAGCCCACGCCCCACACGCACCTTCTTGAGGGCCTTCTCGCCAGCAGCCCTGTTCTCCAGGCCCAGGTACAGGCGCCCCAGCTTCAGCCACATGGAGGCCACGTTGAGCGAGTACAGAGGGTAGTGCTTGCTGCGGAGGGAGACAGCAGGCACTGTCAGGGCAGACAACCTGGGCAGCCAGGGCGGACAACCTGGGCAGCCAGGGGACCCCAACCTCCAGGCTCAGGGGAGAGACGCGGCCAAGAACTTTCTGAGTCTTGGAAAAGTCACATCAAGGCTGCTGGAGGGATCCGATACCGGATGTCTGTAAACACCACTGATCCCTGCCCAGATCTGTCTTAAGTACACCCACGGCAAGGCAAGGGAAAACTCTTTTCTACTGAGATTGAGCCCAGGGCCTTCACACTGGGCTACATCCCCAGCACGCCCTTCCCTTTCAGGAAAAAGGAAGGAGCTAGGAGGTAGGGTCTCACTAAGTCACCAGCTTGGGTTCAGACTGCAATCCTTCTGCCTCAGGCTCCCAGAGTAATGCACCACCACTGTTGGTTTGGAAAACATCTTTCAAAGTAAATGTCCCACTGATGAGGGCAGTGATTAGCCCAATTCCCTCCCGTTGGAAAGACGGAGCGCGTGTGCAGCCCCCCCTCCATGTGTTTTAAGACCCCTGATTTCCAACCCAAGGCTATCAATTAGCAGAGCCAGCAGCCCTCTGGTCTGGGGGACGCGCTCAGCCTTCAGGGCCTTTCTCCGCTGTCCAGCAGAGGGAGGTGCACCCGCTGGTGCGTTCAGCGGGTCCAAGCTGCTTCTGCGCAGGCCTGGCGGAGGCCACGTGTGCGTTGAGCTCCAGGAGGGAGCCTGGGCCCCGGGCAGAGCTGGCCGCAGGGCAGGGAGCACAGGCAGGGCTGGGGGCTGGGATGCCACCGCAACCTCTCCCTGCCATGCGGACAGAAGTGCGCTCCGGGCCGGGCCGGGCTGTCCGGCCGCCCCAGAGGGAGGGAGGGCCACCCCCTGGTGGCTGTTCGGGGCACCGCAGGGAGGAGGCCGAGCTGGGAGCGGAAGTTCGGGGAGGACACACTTTGTGGCCCCTAATCTTAGACCCTGAGGGGTGCTGAGGGCTTCTCCAGCTTGGATGCTTCTAGAACACGGAGATTTCCGGGTCTGGGGTCCGGAGATTCCAACCCACCTGGTGTCGGGCAGACCCAGCTTTGCAGGCCCGTCAGAGCCACGTGACCAAGCACGACTTCCTTCTCTCCCCACCGGAAAGTTCAATAACCCTGGGGCAGGACACGTCCCTGGGCTCAGCCATTACCGTCACAAATCAAAACCCAAACTATTTTATTCAAACGGTGTGGGGGCATCAAACAAGCACAGCGAACCCCTGTGGTTAGCATGTGTGGGCTGGGTTCCAGCTCCTGCTCCAAAGGCAAGACCTTTGCTTCGCTGGTCACAGCCCCCTAAAGATCCTCCAACTAGCTTCGAGGCTGAGACCTGAGGACTGCAAGTCGGAGCCCAGCCTGGGCAACTTCGGGAGACCTTGTTGGACCACGTGGGTGTCCACACCTGTACGGGGCTGCCGCGGCCCACTGCGAGGGGCGCTCACCTGTAGGGCTTGATGATCTTCTGGCCGTACCTCAGGGCGCCCTCCCAGTCCTGAAGGTACAGGCACACGCCCATGGCCTGGTACATCATGTGCAGCATGTACACGTTGCTGTCCTCGAACACCGAGCTCATTTGCTCCTGGCTCAGCTCGCAGATCTCCAGAAGCTCGCTAGGGGGTGCTGTGGAGTCAAGGAAACCAGCGGCCCCTGGGGGAGCCCGACTGTCCCTCCCCCTTCCTGAGCGAGGCAGAGAAGCCAGCTGCACAGAGCAAAGCTGAGGTGCAAGGACTTACACTTTCTAGAGGAAACTGGGGCAGAAGACCTCACCTCCCACACAAGACTAAAGCCCGGGCCGCAGTCCGGAAGTGAACAGTGGCCCCGGAATCCCCCGTCCTCAGACATCCAATTAAGTTCAAATCCGCATCTTCACCAGACCGTGACCACCTCCGTGGGGATGTCTTTCCTTTTTTCTGTTTCTCCATTACTGAGGAACGAACCCACTGACCTACAATGCCCAACCTTTTCTATTTTTTATTTTGAAATTGGGTATCACTTGCCAGCCTGGGCATGAATTCACAACCCTCCTGCCTCAGCCTCCCAGCGTGCTGGGATTACAGGCACGTGCGTGTCACCACACCCAGCCAGCTGGAGCATTTCTAAGGAAGCTGTGCCCAGCACGGCAGTCTTCTCTTTCTTTTGGTGCTGGGGATGGGCCCGGGACCATGCACACCGCCCTAAGGTGGGCCGCGCTCTTTCTTAGGCTGAGAAAGAACGGGGCTTCTGGGCCTCCCGCCGCGGTACAAATCCAGTCCCTGTGGGCGCTGGGCAAGGCCCTGGTTGGCTCCCGCTGGATGTCGGCCCCTACCTGGCCTCACAGCCCGGCCCGGCCTCCCGGCCCTCGCAGTGGGGGCTCCTGGGCATCGGGCCCTGCACGCTGCAGCCGAGGATATATTTGTAGTGCTTGGCTCTCCGGAACTCCTCGATGACGCCGCGCGCGTACCTGACCATGTCACGGACGGCCTCCGCCCTGGGGGGGTCGCTGAGCTTCCGGATTTCCAGCTTGGCCTGGTCCTGAGGGCGAGGCCCGCAGTGCGGAGTGAGCGAGTGAGCGGAGTGGGCGGAGTGGGCGGCGAGCGCTCGAGGTCCAGCCCAGTCTCCGGAGGCGGGGCAGGGCGGGATCGCTACTCCGGGCGGGCCTCGAGGGTGCTGTGGCCACGTCGTGTCCCACAGGACTCACCTGGCCCTTGGTGCTGCACTCCCGGCACTCGCACGTGAAGAAGTAGGAGTCCCTGAGGCGGTCGTTCCTGTCCTCCGTCGGGTACAGGAGGTCGATGTAGCTGGTGAACACCTGCGGAGGGCGCAGCCCGGCCCTGCAGGCACCTGAGCTGGCCCGGCAGGGACGGAGCACAGCGCAGGGGCCGCCGCAAAGCCACATGGGGTCACCCTAGGGGGCACCCGCCCTCCTGTCCCTGCTTCTCCGTAACAGCCTGTCTCTCCCTCCTGCACCCGAGGCCAGAGCGCGAGCAGCCCCCAGGGCACGGACCATCAGACCGAGGAACCCCAGTGGAGGTGCGGACTGGCAGCCGCCCCGCCGCCGTCCGACGGCCTCAGGACGCAGGGACGCGCGCGGTGCAACGAACAGAAGCGTCCACAAGATGGCGACAGAGGCCAGTCCAGTTCCCGGTCACGGCTCAAACGGAGCCTGCGACCCCCGCGGGCGGCTCGCCTCTCGCCAGCCTCAGGAGCTGGGCTGGATGATTTATTCCAGCTGACTGCAGTCATCTGTTTTAACAGAGAGCGTCTGGCGACACTGGGAAACCTGTGGGGCACCGGGAGACGCAGACGGTCTCCCCCAGGGGACACCGTGATCACGGTGGAAAGGGCAACCTGAATATCGGACTTGGCCCGTTCGGGCAGAGGCTCCTTCCACCCTCCAGAGAAATCCACAGCGAAATTTCAAATACATCCAGACATGCATGTGGAAGTAAACAGCACTGCAAGTGAGACTGAGCCCGAATCTAAGGTGTGGGATGGATCCACTGCCCGTCTTTCCGAGGTCTGCAGGGTAACCGTGCAGGACAGCAGGGAAAGGGAGGAGGGGTGACCCGGTGTCACCTCAGTCCTGTGTGAGGGAGGGAGGGAGGGGTGGTGCCTCCTGCCCACAGCCTGCCTCTACTTCCCCTCACGGCACACAAGCAGCCGTCTATGACTTCCTGAAATGTGCCCGTCCTGGCTCTTCAGCTACTGCCCGGCAGCTTGATGTTCCCCCAGTAAGGATGCTTTGGACGTTTGGGTTGGGGGTCCCCTAAATGACAGGGGACACAAAGACCCCAAAGAGAATCATGGTGTCTATCGGTCGTTTGAGGGGGTCCTTTCTCTCAGAATCTCGGCCAAGAGCTCAACTCAAGTTTATTCTTTCCTCTTGCTTCCTGACCCAAGGAGGAGCCGGCAGGCACCAGCGGAAGCCCCGGAGCGGATGCCACGCCAGCCACATGGCCACATGTCCATCGCCGAGGCCTGGCACTGTGCCGCTGGGTCCTTACCTCTTCGCCGGGGTGGATCTCCTGTACCGCCCGCACTTCTGCCAGGGTCCCCCTGTAGGTCACAATGACATTGGGGCAGCAGCTATGATTCATCAGCGCAACACTGTAGGACAGGAGAGAAGACATGGGTCCTTCAGTGGCCTGGGCGGGCCGTGGGAGCTGCTCAGTCCAAAACATCAGCCGTGTCTCGCCAGCTCAGACCATGCTGAGATGTTTCTGTGCGCATCTGTAATAATGTCTAACACCTCACATTTTAACTGTCTTAAACAGTGAAATCCGCAATTCAAAGCAGTGATAGCCAAGCTGAAAACAAAAGGCTCAACAATGAACACAACATGCCAGAAATCTTCCTTCCTGGCAGCTGCAGGACTTGAGGCCCAGTCCCTACAGCTCTCCGTGACTCCCACATGGCGGCGAGGACAAACGAGGTGTCCCCTGCGGGCCGCTTTCTGTCCAGTGGATCGTTTCTCGGCCAGCGCCTTCTTCAGATGTTGAGAAACGCCAGCTGCCTAAGGTGTGAGGCCAGAGAAGCCCTTCCGGATCTCTCTGCACCTCGATTTCCTCATCTGCAAAATTGGGACACCACTGTTCCCTCGGCTCACTGCCTGCTTTTCAGGGACAGCGAGAAGGAGAGAGAGATTCGCCTACAGAGGAGCTTTGAGCTTTCTGATTATTATCAAGGTCAAAGTTGAGGACAGAAATTTTTAAACTACAGGGAGAAAGTGCTTGATCTCTGAAAATGCTGCCTTTGAAATCACAATGCCAATATGATTTCAGCCCAACGGGCTTTTCCCCCAATTAAAAATACCCGGACACTGGGGCTCATGTTCCCGTGGGCATGCACACCTGCTGGAATCCCTGCTCTGGGGGCAGTGCCACCTCCTGGCCCCTCGGAGACTGGAACCCCTCTACGCCTCACCCCAAGAACACGCAGAACAGGGGCTGCACAGAGCGCGTGGGCCATTCCCAGGGCTGGAGGTCTGTGTAGTACAGGGCGGCTGGCTGCTCAGGACAAGCTGGCAGCGAGTCCAGACTGGGGACGTCGTGGGGAAGGACATGGCTGGCCCCCTGGCTTCCTGACACGCAGCGGACGGTCAGACCCTGGAAGTCTGAGGAACAAATGGACTGGAAGGGCCTAGGAAAGGAAAAGCAGATTCCTCAGCGACCCTGCAGAGCATGCTCATTCCTGGTTCTTGCCAGACTCCTGGCTGAGTCAGGAGGCAGGGACTGCACTGCAGCTGGCACTGAAGCCAGGTCGTACCCTTGGGGTGCTGGGGTCCCTTGGGTGGTGGCAGAAGATGAGGCCCAACTCCGCTACTCTTGGGCTTTCGTTGTCTTTCGGGGACCAGCAGAGACCTGTGAAATTCACAGTTCTGTATCTCGCCCAACAATCTCATTCTCTTAAAAACAAATACCCTCACTCCACAAATGCTCTCTGAACTGGGGAAAAACAACAACAACTCCATTCTGTAACTGCAGTTGGGTAGCTTTTTGCACATTTGTTGAATGTTCCTAAAGTAGAGAGAAAAACAGGACAGGTCTTTGAAATTTTTCCCTAGCTCACTAGCTGAGCACAGTCTCGCACCAAACTATGCTGTTTTCATATTGATGTTTTTCAAAATAGACATTAGACAAGCTCACGTATTCTCTATCCAAAGCTACAGCTGATTCTTGGTTAGTGATTAATGTTCAGTTTGGCACAAGAAACCGTAAGATTTCCAGACTACAGACAGGCAGAAACTAATTTCACAGCGGGGCATGGGCCGCTCCTTCTACACACACCATTAAATATTCTTTAATAACAGCTCTCTGCCTAGCAGGACTTAACAAGCAACTTTTTGCTAACTGCTACCTTTGGATCTTTAAGTGTAGGGGAAATATTTTGAAATGTGGCAGATTAAAAAGCTGTCTTAATTCACTTGGAGTTTCATGCCTGCCACATGCCGTTAGGTGGGTTATATAAAAATCAAAAAACCCACCCAAATTAGTGTTAAATAAGCACAAAGAAAAGAAACGAAGTCACACTCAACCTACTCAGGAAATATCGCTGATCCCAAATGGGAAAGTTCTTCATCTTCAATCGTGAAGCCATTGCAGTTAACCTGCAGGGAGACAGGGAGACAGAGAAAGCCGAACGGTAGCTTCCCTCTGGATGGAGATCATTTCTTTAATTGTGACCTTTAACAAGTTAACTAGGAAGATGTTCCAGTTTGGTGGTTTCAAACCCTTTTCTTTTGGTCACGAGGTCCTTTGTTCAGATGAAATGTCCTCATCAGCCCAGCAACCCAAGGCTGCTGCACCTCCCCGTGCAGCCACCTGCAGGCCTCGAGCCCGCCAGCCCCCCCGAGGCTTGAGGACTACGGGTGTGCATGCCCGTGCACTCAGGATACCAGGGGTCAGGACACTGGAGTCCAACCCCAATTACCCCAGTTCCCTGTGTGACCGGCCCGTCAAGGTCCTGTGGCCTTGAAAAAGGAGCCCCTGAACACAAGGCCCGCCTCAGAGGTGAGGCTGCAACTTAGCAAGTCTCCTCTAATTGCTGTCCCTCTCTGAGGTTCAGAGGGACAGGGACAGAAGCCCCGAGGAAAGGAGCTGGGGCCTTTCATGCTGCAGCCACTTTCTCATCCTTTCCAACAAAGAAATGTGGCATTGCAAAATGCCAAGAGCGACTGTCGCACTCTGGGGGCGGAAGGTGGAGGGAGCAGGCTGAACACGAGGACAATCCCAGCCAACTTCCATGTCCTGTAGAGTCTTCTCTGTCACAGGCACTGACAGAGGCCCAGGGTGCAGGACCCTGTGCTCAGAAAGGCACAGCTTCTGGGAGACACCACAGTGGGACTTCTTCCTGTGCACCTAACACCACACAGCTGGATACTGGTGATGCCACCCGCTACTTCCCACAGCGGAGACACCACACTCGGCATCTGATCAGCGCTCACCAGGGGCCAGGCAGTGGCCAGCTGTTGCAGCTAATAAGCCCATCAACCCACAACGGCCCCAGCATTACTGTAACCGCCCATCCTGCAGATGTGGAAAGTGAGGCTGGGAGGTGGCTAAGTGGCCTGCAAAGGTTGTGCAAAAGCAGACTGCAGAACAGGAATCAGAATTCCCATGGACCGTCCAACGGCAAAGCCTGGCTTCTTCGCACAGAACCGAGTTTCTTCTAAAAGAGGCTGTGTCCACTAAATGTTAATGGGACAATTTCACCTAAAGGACAATGGCAAGGGCTGGGGAACCTTGGGAACCACTGAAACAGGAGCTACAGAAGATTCTACATGTACCATTTATAACAAGAGGCTAGTACAATAGCCAGCCTTGGAAATCCCCAAGGGTTGCGTATTTCTAAGAAGATTTAGTGAACTAATTTTTGTGCCAACTCCAAGTACCTTGATCTTTCTGTCACTGGGACATTAACCAATGGCCACCGGGCAACATTGGGTGGGAGTAAATTTGGATTTTCATTCATTCAACAAAACTGACGATGGTACAAGTTGTGTGTCTTCACTTTAGTGCCCAGGTACCCAATGACCCGTACACAATCTCACACTGGACACCAATGAGCCTTAGCAGTCTTCAGTACCCACAAGGACAAGTGTGTGCAGAATGAATGAATGCATGGATGAGTGAGGATTTAGCAACAATTACCAAAAGGAACCTAGGAGAGACAGGCTGCCTTGAGTGCCAGATTCTTGCTCCTTGGCTTTGGAGACCCCTTCTCTGTGTGAACCCCCAGACCTGTGCCTGACTCTGGAGTGCTTCAGGCCTGAGCCTGCTCCAACCAGCAGCCCCTCCGTGGCCTCCCGCTCTCCCTCCTAACCAAAGGGTCCCTCCTGTAAGCACTGTTCCTCTCTGGCCTGCTTGCCCTCCCTTCTGAGCTCTGCCCGGAGAAGAGAAGCAAACTTGCACATAAGGAAGATGCATGGGCCACAATCCTTCTTTTCTTTTGAGCCAAATCAGGCGTGAGAGCCTTGTGAAAGCCTCTCTCATAATTAGCATTTAGACTAGATGTAGGCTGCACACCGAAAATAGCTTCCTAGCTGCACAAGTGTTTGGGAATTGGAATGCACTTCGGCGCTGTGGATGGAGCATGGTTGCTATGGCCTCTGTGGACCAGGAGGTCTCAGGCTGAGAGGCCAAACCCAGGGCAACAGTGGAAGGGCCCCTTTTTCCTCTGCTTGGGATACTGAACCCCCTTTTCAAATTTACATTAAAGAGCGATGCAAGTGTGGGTGGGTGTCCAAGCACAACCATGGAATGTACACAGTGGTTTGATAAATATCTAGTCTATAAAGGAACAAACTACCTACAGCTTGTGTTTTCTTCTCTTAGGCACAAAAGTGAGCCAGATTTTCTGAGTGAGTCCAAACTTCAAAGACTGACTCACTTTCACCACAAGGACACTTGTACTTGTGTGATCTGTCTTGAATTTTGTGACAGAAACACAATTCCGGATTGACATGGAGAAGTCCTGTCCATATGTATTACCGCGATAGAGGGGAAGGTATCTTTTCTCAGAGCTTGAGGGAAGACACATTTGCCAGGTGTGGTGGTGCACATCTGTAATCCCAGCTACTCTGGAGGCTGAAGCGGGGTATCACAAGTTCAAGGCCAGGCTGAGGAACTTAACAAGACCATGTCTCAAATGTTTTTAAAAGGGTTGAGGATGTAGCTCAATGGTGTGTGACTGTCTAGCATGCACAGGGCCCTGAGTGAAATCCCCAGCAAAAAAGAAAAAGGGGGAAGAGGAAGGGGAAGAAGGAGAGGGGGGAGGAGGAAGAAGAAGAAGAGGATGAGGTGGAGGAAAAGGAAGAGGAAGGGAAGAATGTGGAAGAAGAGGAAGAAGAAAGAAGAAAAAGAAGAATCTTAATTTCACTGCTCATGTGTCATCTAGAAAAAAGAAATCATGTAACTGGCTTCTGAAAAATATTAAGAGAATTAATTCTCCAACTGTGCTGTGTTGCCCAAATCTACCATCTTAGGGTGCTTAGGAAAGTATGCTATCAAACCTAGGATACCATGAAAATCAGGCAGGGTTTTCATTCCTTCTGCCTTAACGTTCATTCGTAACTTGGGCCCATTATCCTTGGGCCCTTTTTGAAGGAAGAGCACTTGCGTCCAGACTGCGACTCTCACAGCTGAATGTATCCACAAAAACACAGAAGAATCCACTCAGCTGTCACAGTGGGGTCCTCGGGGGATCAAGTGGCAGAGTCTCCTCTTCCCTCGTATGTGTAATTTTTAAAGCAGGTGCTTCTCTCCTAGTTTTTCCCAGTATTTTAAAAATGTCATACATTGTTCATAGTTCAAAATCCAGAAAAACCATGCAGTGAAAGCTAATATTTCCCACAATTTAGAAGAAACCAACTGTGAACTTTCATGCAATCTTTAAGTATGGATGTTTCCATATCACACACACTTTTCACCCTGTTTTTGTACCTAAGCATCATTTCCCATCTTCAGGCAGTCTTTGAAACACAAAGGCTACACGACCTTCTGTCATATGGCTCTGCTATAATTTATTTAATCAAACGCCTACTGCTGGCCATTTGCAATATTTCATTTTCCCCTCTCCCGTTCCTCCCTCCCTCTCTTCTGCTTTGAAAAGAACCCTATAATAAACAATCTGCATGTGAGTCTGTCCCTAATCTCTGCTTATTTCCTAAGGACAGATTCCTGGAAATGGAATTACTGGGTCAGAGGCCACGTCAGCGACGCCCATTCTGTCCCGAGACAGAGATGTGCAAGGCTGTTTAGTGCGTCGGACATGGACAGGGTCCGGCAGGGCACACGGCTACTTATGCCCGTGGAGCAGCATTGGGGTCCTCGCCTTTCAGGGAGACTCACCTTCACCCAGACACCCAGCTTGGAGCAGGAAATAGGAGGGCAAGAGATGCAGGCATGCAGGGGAGCAGGAGACCTGGGGCCCCGGGCTCAGCTCTGCTGAGGACCTCGTGCCCAGTCTGCTAGTCACTTCCGAGCTGCTCTGACTTTGGGAACCCTTAGCCTCTCCGACAACACCCCGCCACTATGCTCAGTGGGGCTCCCTCGTACCCCTGTGGGCTTCCCTCTTTCTGGGGAAGTTGGTGTCCCCTATTCCCAGCACAGCCGTGGTAGCAGAAAGAGTCCAAGAAAGACAGGGCCATTTTCCGTCAGAGCAGAGGGTTTAAGAGGGGAGAAGTTAAGATTTAACCCGGGAATTTGGAATGGCCTTTTTTCTGCAAGGAGTTCAGTGTGAGGCGGAGTGCCGCCCGGGGCCCTGGCTGCACGAAGGCTTTGTTTCCCACACCCAGGGAGCCGCGCAGAGGAGACCCTGGTCCGCCCGGCTCAGGGAAAGGCCAGGAAGGTGTGGCGTCACCTCACTGCGTCACCTCGCCGCGTCTCACCTGTGCGAAGAGCACCACCAGGCTGTCATGGTCGGGGAGCCCAAGGTGCTTGGAGTAGAACTGGTGCAGTGTGGCGATGTCGCTCTGAATCAAATCCCTCTTCTCATTGTCCAGCTTGTCCAGATCTGTGGACACATGGCATGGCTCACCCGGGGAAGCCCGCTCACCTGCTCTGTCCTGTTCTCAGGGTAGATGGTGTGGGGCGGGACAGAAGCTGCGGTGGCATCCACCGCTCGAGAACACTTCCCCCCGCCCGGCCTAGCAGGCAAACCCTGTTTTCCTCCCCCTTCTAACCACCAGAGGTCACTGGGTAAACGACCTTGCCACTGACCACTGGCCACGAGACCACTGGCCACTAGGCCACTGTCTGCTCAGGGCCCCCGGGTCTGTCAGTCAAATGACCGGGTGGCCCCTGATTTAGCATCGCTTGGTAAGAACATCAGCTGTTCCTAGGACTGCAATTCAGCAAAGGTCCGAAATATTCTGCATGCTCGGGGACGCCGCAGGCCAGTCACAGTGCACTTCCGCGGCCTTTACTATTCCCTAATGAACTTGTCAACTCGGGGAAAGTTTGAAGCATCTCTCAAAACAGCACACAGGTCAAAATGAAACTAATAATTAAAAACCACCATCCCTATGAAGAAAGCAGACTGCCCCTTCCTTCCCTCCATCCTATCTCATCCACAGTAAATCTGTGGCTAAAATAACTGCCCGGCCCGGCACACAAAGACTTACGCGATTCAAATTCCTTCACGGCTAACAATTTCTCGGAAGGTGTTCTCTCTGGATGGATTTTCTAGTAATTGGGGAAGAAGTCACACAGACACAGACATTACCAACCAGTGTTGAAAGTAGTGCTTTCGCTTTAACATCATCGAGAAGAAAAAGCAACAATTTTCAAGGAAGTAAAGGCAGCTGCCCAAGGAGCACACTCGGGCTCTGAGCGCTGGCCGATGTCTGCATCCAAAGGCTCTTTTCAAAAGCTTTGTGAAGAGTCTACTGCATTCCTGACACCCCGAGACTGCCACACTCACAGTAGGCTCAGAAATGCTTTATACCAGAAAGAACTGGGCCGGAAAACAACTTTTTAGGGTCCTTACTTAAAAGGACGGGGTCTACAGATGAACCATCCTACTTATTATTTCTCCTGCTAAAAAGGAACAAAATCCAACCCCCCATCCATTTTACACTTTCTTTAAGCATAGGCTAAAATGATCTCAAATTCTGTGTTTCAAAAAGAACACTTTTGGTTGTATCTGCGAGCCCAGATTCACTTGAAACGTGTTGCGGGCTTTGTTCTAGACACCCCAAGAGGAGCGAACAATAGTAAACCCGCCAGGCTTTGAGAACATGAATAAACTTGGTGTTGACAAGAGTTCAAACGCAGCGCGCAGGAGCTGGCCTGAGGCCCCGGCTTTGTAATCTGGCTATTCAATTTGGGGATACAGGTGGCCTCGCCGGGTGCTCTCACCTCCCTAGTTAACATGTTAGGCTTCCCCTTGGTAGTGGGGTAGCCTGTGTCCCCCAATCCTTTGCAAGCTACTAGAATACAAATGGCCTGGTTTTTTAATCATCCGAGTCCTATTGGGATGAAAAGATGGTCAGGTAACTTTTCATTTCGTACACTATTAGTAGTAGTAGTAATTATAATAAAACTTGAATGAGAAGAGTGTAAACTCCTAACGGTATTCAGGGCGACCCTCCTGGTGTCAAAACATTTCAACAGTTCTTTCTGGGAGCAGAAATTTTCCATTCACAGGATGCACTTCTGTTAAGATTAATAAGTCCTCCAGCCTGGGAAGACGGTGGAGTCAGGAAGTATCCAGCTTCTTCTGAAATCCTCACACAACACCACAGACACCCCAGAGAGTCAGGGGGCAGGAGAAGACGCAGAAGGTTGGTCTCCCCGTCCACAGACCGGAGGGTTGTGCATCCTGACACCCACCCCAGCCTGCACGCCCAGGCTCCCCGCTTCCTGTAGGCTTTCTCTGGCCTCTTCCAGGGAAAAACAATTCGATTTTCCAGTCTCACTCCCCTCCACTGGTTGTCGTCGTTCTGAGCTGGTAGCCAGGTCTTTCTGCAGCATCTGATCCTACCTGAGCCCGGCAGAGTGATAATCATGGAGGGCAGAAATGTTTTACTTCTGTTTATAACTCCAGCACCTTAACTTGGTCTATGCAGACACCTGCGAGTCCTTACAATCACACTTGGCTTAGGCTTAAAAGAAAAAGACAAATGGGGGGTGGGGATGGGAAGGGAGTGGATGAGGGTTCAGCTTGAAAAGAGGCCTGGTCACCAATTTCTACCAGCTTGGGGAATGAATGGGGCCCAAGGCCAAGTCCTAGGGCAGGGATGGCGAACCTTTTAGAGTCAAGTGCCCAAACTGCAACCCCCATCCCACTTATTGAGCACCAAGTGCCAATGCTGCAAGGCACGCGTGCCACAGGTTCGCCATCACTGTCCAGGGCATCTTCTTCTTCCGCTCTGATGTCTGGGCTCTGGGAATCAGGGGTCCAGTTACAGTGCAACCAGGAAGGACCCATCGAGGAAGCGGCAGAGTCTCAGTCCTGTACCATCTCTGGCGATCATCTGTTCCCGTGGAGGGCGGCTCCTGCTGCCCTTCTCTCTTCCCTTCTTCTCTTCTCCTCCCCTCTGGCCTCAGTTTCCACTTTTCCATTCTTTCTCTTTGCACTGGCCCGCACCCTGCCTCTTCCCTCCAATTCCTTGCCTGTCTACTTACCAGCAAGAAAGCACGGAGACCAAGAGAGCAAAATAACACCCCGGGGGGAAGGCGGACGAGGTGCACCCTGTGTCCGAAAACCTCAAAGCCTTCTAGGATGGCCGGGTCCCCAGGAGGCCCTAGGTCCTTTCTGTCAGGTTCTTCCCGCCCTTCTTCTGGGTAAACCTGACTCTGAAGAAGCTTCGGGCATCACAGCCAGGGCTGTACGCCTGGTCTGAGGTGAGCAGCACCCTATCTGCACAGTGCACACCACAAACCAGGTTATGCCTGGAGCATTTCTCCACCCCGTCCACAGGGCTGTGACTGGAAATGCAGTCCAAAATGGGCCACAAGATGCTAGGGGTCAGATACTCATTTTTTCTGTAATTTAAGAAAAAAATGAATAAAATGCACTTGAACGCAATCCTATTTCCTCACCTGTTTGGCCAGAATCCTTGCTGTCAACCGTACAGTCTCCGAGGGAGTCCAGTTTCCCCCAAAAACAACCATGGGAGAACATTCCAGCTTGTGCATGGACCAATCTTCTTTCTGGGGAGATTTTAAAAAAGCATTACGAAAACACAGACACACGCACAGTGGAATAAAATATGAGAAGACAGCATGCAGTACTCGGCCCTGGCTAAGGTGAGGGGAAAGGCATCTCCGCCTGGAAAGCACACAATGCTCCTTGGAAAAGCTGAGGAAACATCCTTAGGGCTGGAGGTGACCACGGGACCTTGACCCAGGCCTCTCCAAGGTCACTGGGAGGAGAGAACCTCGCGTCTTTCTGCAGCCCCTCATTCTGCCGAGTGACCTGGGGACTGGCCACTGAGGTGACTCTGGGCCCTACGGTCCTGTTCCCGCTCTGTTCTCCCACTGATGCACAGCAACACGCTTCCTTCTACAGGCGGATTTTTTCATAAAAACCTCGCGGGCTTGGCAAGGCCTTCAAGTCTGGGAGGGCAGCTGCTGGGGACAGGCAGACACAGACTTCTGGGGTTCGTGTGATTAAAAGTAGCTGTCTCCTGTGGCCGGGTCTTGTGTCTGAGCCCAGGGATGCTGTACCCCACAGGGTGGCGCTGTGTTCCCAGGATGGGCTCTGATGTGCTCTGAGGACCAGGGATGATCGTGGTGACGGGCAAGTGACAGGTTTGGGGTGAGAGGACTGAGAATGTACCTGGCCGCTGGGGCCAGGCTGGGCGAGGCTGCGGGGAGCAGGAGGAGACGGAGAAGCTGGCACAGGTGGGGTGCAGGTAGAGAGGAGGGGTGGGCCCTGGACAGTCTGGACATAGACAGAGCCCCAGGCTCTGTCCCGCTGGCCCTCGCCTTCCCTGCTCAGAAAACGGCCCGGGCCACCCTGAGCACCAGGGTCCCACGCCCCGCACGCAGCTCCCAGCAACCCCTCCCTCTGCCCTCCAAACGCAACACTCTCAGCCCTCCTGGTCACCCAACCTGTGCACCCTAAGGTCCTGCACTGAGATCCCCGCCTGCGCCTTTCCCAAGCTGGTGTCTGCTCTCAAACTCAGACCACACGCCAGAGGCCAGAGGGAGCCCACCCAACAAAACGCAGCTCCTGCGGGTTCTCAGCTCAGGAACTTCTACTGGCTTCTCAGGAGGCCAAAAGCCAAGTCCTAAAGTGACCTGCACAGCCACAGGGGGTGCGGTGCCCTCCGACTGCAATCCCATCCTCTCCCATGCTCTCTTGAGACTCTGCCATGCGCATCCTGCCAGACAGCCCTGCCCTGTCTCTGCTGCCTCTCGGGACTTAAACCTGCAGACACGGCAGCTTTCTGGTGTAGGATCTTCTCCCACCCTTGAAATAAAGAAACTGAGTGTGCTCTGCTCACAGTAACCGCAGGACCCGGACTTACGCCGATGTTTCCCGGGCATCAGCACAGTGAGCAGTGGAGGGCATGGAGCTGCCTCCCTGCCCCGGCCTCCACCCAGCCCCAGGAGGATGCAGCACCGCTCAATGATTCAGGGCAGGATCTGGCACAGCCCCGGGTTCAAGTTCTGTGCCAAGAAGTTCCAGAGAGTTAAATAACGCTGCACCAAATATAACTGGGTACACGGAGGGAGGGAGATGATGAGCAATGCCCAGGGGAGCAGGGGACCTGCTTTTAGCCAGAGCCTCCAAGGAGGGCCCATGGACGAGGCAGAGCTGTGACAGGTGGCCACGCTCCCTGCCCAGCCGCAGAGCCCAGAGGCAGGGACCGAGGAGACTCTGGGTCCCAGAGAGAAACAGGGTCCACGGGGCAACCAACAACAACCCAGCCAGGCACGAGCCGCCAGGTCCCAGTGGGGAGCTGCATCTTTGCTGGGCCTTTTGCTATTGGTTTTCTGAACTGTGGAGGGTGAGTGCGTTGGGGTTTGCCGTTGCCAGTGAACTTCCAGGAGAAAGAAGTTAAACGATGACATTTCCTGACAGTCTGTTCATACCATCACTACTGGAACGATGAATCTGAAATCAGTGTTAACAGAAATAGCACCGTCCCTGTCCTTGAAGGGTGGGGAAATCGAATCCAGACACCCAGGAGGAGGGCAGCATTCTGGGAAGCAGGGGGGCCTCTGTCCTGGGCCCCAGAGACCTCAGTCTCCTCCCGCTCCGCAGCTGTGTGATGTCAAATGGCCTCTTAAGCCCCCAGCACCCATCTTCCTGGCTGTAAGTAACATGATCCCTTGGTTACTTAACAGGTCCGGACTGCTGAGCCTGTGATTTTACACCTTCCGGCAGTGAGAGTCAGACTCCCAGGCCACGCCGGACCTTCACATGGGATAACATGAAGGTCCTTTCGAGGACTCCAAAGCCACCTGAGAGATGCACCGGGCACAGGGCCTGGCACATGGGGGCCTCTTGACAAACACTGGCAAAGGTTCACCTTGGGGTTCATTCAGCCACTCAGCAAGTGCTGCCTCAGGCGGTGGGTGGGGATGGGAGACAGCGTGTGGGACTTGACGCTGTTTATGCCATGTGGAACACGGGGTGAGAGAGCGCCCGAGTTAGACACAGTGCCACAGGTGGCCTAGCTGAATGAAGGATGAATGAATTTCACTAATGAGCTAGCTGTCAAAACTATAGGCAGCTTTGTTGTACGCAGGGACTTTGGAACTCTTTATGGCTTTTAACACATTTGTCATTCTTCCTAAAATCTTTTTTTCTAAAACTACTGTTTTTCTTCAAAATTCAAGCTGCTACTACTACTCCTTCCCTGGTTGCAATCCTTGTAAAATTTTATGTAAACCAGGATCTGTTTTCCAGAAAAATAACATACGTACATGTGGACAAAACCCATTCAGGAAACCATCTATGAGACTGTCGTACTAGCGGTTCTCTCTCAAGGAATCAAACACTCATTCTGCTCTTCTTTCGGTCTATATCTTCTAATTTTTCTATGATGAATACAGATTGCCAGTGTGATAAAGTTAAACAATAAAACCTACATGTAATTAGGATGCGGCTTGTTTTGGACATCAATGCTCTTTTTAAACTTATTCTTCCTCCTTTTTTTTTTTTTTTTGGTACCGGGGATCAAACTCGGGACCTTGTGCTTGCGAGGCAGGCAGCAGAACCACTGAGCTAAATCCCCGGCCCTAAACTTCTCATTCTTTTTCAGCCAAGATAATAAGTGCTGCACATGAGTTTCATTTTGCACGTGGGTAAAAATACTTAAAGAAACATCAAGAATCGCAAAATTGTACCTGCATTTCCAACACTGGAGGAAAAGATTATTACGGCTTCCAGTTTTCTGTGAGCACACGACCCTGCCTTTCTGGACAGGGCGATCGGATTCCCACCATGAAGCCTTCTTTCCTATCTCAGGCATTGGTGTTTCTAGGTCTCATCCTAATGGAACTTGCAAGACAAACACAGCTCACTTGTGCGCGTGCCATGTGTGATTTCTCAGACTGTGGAATGGCGAGAAGGTGTCACAGGACTTCTGCTCCCTGCCACCCTCATCGTCAGAGGAAGAGTGGGAAGGGATCAGGCGGGGACTTCATCATACAGGAAGGTGACCGCTGTGGGGACCCAGGGTCTCCTTTGTCTTCCCAATAAAACCAAGATGGCTGAACTCAGCCATTAAAATTTCTTCCTGTGCTGATGTTAAACATTTAGAAAATAAACAAATAAAACAGTGGCCAAGCTTCCTATGCATCTAGACACAGTAAGTTCAAGCAGGGCTAAACCTAGGACCCTGAGCCCATCCCCCACCCAACACGATGAGAGGTTTATACAGCATGGGTTAGCCACGCCCACACTTTTGGTTATTTTCCAATCAATCATGAAAGCCTAGAATATTCCCGCATCTTTTGTCACATGTCCTCACAGGTACTGTTTTTAGTCTCCACCAGGACACGCCTCTTCCCACTTTCCAAGTACACTCATCAAAAACAAAAAGTTTTTTCTCTATGTGTAAGGTTTAAAAATATCTACCAGATGGCTCTACCACACAATAATTATCCTCCCTATAAACTTCCCAAAATGATTCTCATGACTGTGTCGTGGCACAGTGGAATGAAGTCTGAGTGAAGAGTATATTTAGCTTTCCAGGTATATTTATAAAAATAAGTATAATTCATTAAAACACACAGGTTCCAAAATAACAAGCCGAGCTTAAAAGGAACTTCTATATCTTTTATATTTCCTCCCGTTACCTTTTCATGCCTGATCAATTAAAATCTTTCCTCTGGCTCTGTCCTGCTGAGCCAGGGGAGCCAGGAGGGGGTGACTGAAGGCGACCTGAGGCAGAGCAGCGGAGCACCCGGGCACTGGGGACCCGGAGCCGCCCGGCTGCCTGCAGGACTCGGGAAGGGTGTGTGGCTGCACCCTCCTGCGCCTGTTCTGCCAACACAGCAGCAGCAGCACACCTCTTCCCCAGGACCCTCTCTGTGACACGGCCCCCAGGCCTCGAGAGCGCACGCTGCAGCGTGGGGAAATCCCTCTCACTGGGCAGAAAGCCGACTCCCAGCCCTGTCACGTTGGCCCCCAAGGCCCTCCTCATCACTCCCCCCACACACCATGGCACCAACCACCTGCACACTCGGCGTGAGCTCTGAGGAAGCCCCAGGTAGGTGGCAGGCCAGGCCGGGCCTCCTGGGGTGGAGAATCCCTCCAAGAGCTTCCTGGCACATCTTGTTCTGCTTCATTCTTACACTGCTGTAGATAGAACCCAGGGCCTCCACACTCTGCTACATCCTCAGCCCTTTTATTTTTTGTCTTGAAACAACTAGCAAGACCCTGCTGTTGTTTTACACCATACTGGGTCCCTTAGCAGAGCCTCATTCTGAGTCCCTCCAAATGTTCCCTTCTGGGGAACCCTGACTACATTTGTATCCAGAGCCCTCACCCCTAAGACTTCCGGTAGGGAGCCCTGACCAGTGCTGTGTTTCCAGGATCCTACTTTTTCTAAGCTCTGAAGCCCCTGCCATCATGTGGAAACACCTGCACAGCCAGCAGCCTCTTGCAGGTCACACCCAGCCTGGCAGCCTGAGGAGGATCAGGCTTCCGGAGCAGTGGCATGGCTTCCTCCTAGGAGGACTGGATGCTGGACACTAAGAGAAGTGGAGAGAAGCAGCCCTGCTCCCGGCTCAGGGAGTCTCCTCCCAGGACCCTGGCGGACAGGAGGGCAAACTCTGCCATGCCACCTCTGGACAGGAAACTGCACAGCCCCTTCCTCCACCCGGGCTCACCACTACCCAAGGTCACATAACGAAGTGGCCAGTGGCCACCCGTACAAACTGCCCTTGGGGAGAATGTCAGGAAGGTCAAAGCACTCACTGTCCCCTAACAGACAGGCCGCTGGCACACACACAGGCCGGGGGTCTGAGCCCCCAAGAGCAGGCCCCCTCACTGCATGCTCCAAGTGAGGTTTCTCAGGCTGCAGATCTGGAAGACCAGGTCCTGGGGGACTGGAACAAACACCTCCAAATCCCAACGTGGACGTGACGATTCATCTCAAGATTGCCACCTGGCAGGGCCTAAAGGAATACAGCTCAGCAGTGTGTCCCAGAGCCCCGGACGCAGGCCGCTCGCACATTCAGCGGTCCTACAATAATGGACTCTGTCGCTCACTCAGGGGAGTTAAGGCTAATTTTGCTTTTTTCTTAGTTTTGGGGTTTTTAGATGAGATCTTGTTATGTTGCCCATGGCCTCACATTATTTGCCCAATGTACACCATTTATGTCCAAAAGTTCTTAGAAGTCAGCCTTCTCCCAGGTTCAAAAGACAAGCCCCGTAAAGCAGGAGTATGGATGCTGGCTACTCCCTGTGTAAAGCAAAGCTTCAGTCGGCCTGAATTACACACACCCAGCCTCACTGCGGACTGGGGAACTATCACTTATAACACCCCCTCACTTCTTCCTCGTCACTGGGTTCCCACGACTCACCAAGATCAGACAGGCACGGTGGACGTGGCCTGTGACTCCCACTCCCTGGCCACATCTTCCTGGTCCTGGGTGAGGTCGTGACCTGAACATGACTCTACTGATCTTTACTGCTCCACAGGACCAGGCAGGAGCGCCTCCTAGAAGTGCTTGTCTCCCACACACAGTCAACCTGCACATCCCCCAGGGCCCACTGTCCCTCCAGGGTGGGGACAGACACCCGGTCTTCCTGCCAACCAGTGTGGGCTTCGCTCTGCTGTCACACGCAACCCGGGCTTAGCAATCTCGGCCACTCCTAAGTGAAGCTCTCCAGGCCTTTGGAGGGCCGACAGCCTCAGGAGGAGAGAAGGGAAAAATAAAACTGAGTCATCCGAAGCAGGGAGAAAGCGGGGCTGGATGTAAGGGGAAGTGGTGTCCCCAGGTACAGGAAGAGAATCTGCCCCGCCACGTGAGCCTCCCTTTAACAGCACTGGCCTGTCCAGAGGTGTACAATACACTTCCTTTCAAAACATAAGTGGGGGAGGTATAGAGGTCAAATAAGAAGACTTGCAAATTCCCAAAGCATACTAGCATACGAAAGACAGTATAAGGAAATGCTACAAAAGACAATATATATAATGACACAAAAAAATAACGAGAGAGACCACGCACGCCTACACTGACCATGGGACGCATTTTCTGGGAAGCACCTCCGACACTTCATGGGACTCACGGCGTGGGGAACACCACTCCTTCCTCGGCCCTCAGAATCCCACCGAGGGCTCCCCAACCCCTCGGCCTTCGCCCACCCATCCAGAGTCATGGGGCGCAGCTCGGCTCCCCCAGCTCTGCAGCGCCTGTGTTGGGCTGGCTCAGGCTGCGAGCAAGCTGGCCTCACGCAGTCCAGGTGGGGTTTCCATCTGTGCCCTCTGCACCCCCGCCTACCGAGGGCCATCTCGGGACACACTGGTGACCTTGGTGGTTCACCTGCCTGCCCCACCGAGGCTCTCCTGTGTCTTGCCCCTTCCCTACCTCACTTCCTGTCCTGCCCGGGCCCCGCACTGTGACCGCCTGCCCCGGGAGCAGCACTCATAGGTAGTGCGGGCTGTGGAAGGGAATTGCAGAACAATGCACAAGGACAAAGAGGACGCCGGGTTCCGGTCCTCGGAGGAAAGAGGGCCCTCCGTGCCGGCTGCCCTGCACCTACCTGACACTCCACATTGCAGTAAAATGCCTGCTTGCATCTTCCACATTTCGACAATCCTTCTTTCCTTAAAAACAGAAAGAGCACTGTAGTGGGAGAGGCACAGACAGGTGATGAAGCACACTCATCATGCAAAGGACTAAAGCTGTCGACTTGGGAGGCAGGACAAGATTCCTCTTACCTTTCTCTCCCCTGTCTTCCCAAAGGAGGCCCTGCCTGGGCCCAGTCCCTGAGGAGGGAGGTAGAGGGCACAGCCCAACATTACAGGACCCGCTGGCCCTCGGGGTGGCGGCCAAAGCCAGGAGGGCAGCGCTCTGACCTAGGGACCAGACCTGGGGCCCACGGCCTCTCCTGCCACCTCTGCTCTTATTCAGCAGTTTTGGGAAAGGCAGATTCCTGCCTGAGTTTTATGCCCTGACATAAACCAAACCATGTGGCAGCTACTGAAATAAACAAAACCATGCTGTCACCTACCCCAGCCCCCAAAGCTACGTTTACAAATAATGTGACCCAGCAAGTAGAGTTGTGTTCTTCCACGCAGTACTAGCCGTCAGACTCTGCTGTGTGAGGCGGCCACAGCCCTTTCTGATGGTGAAGCCACCGACTTACATCACACAGGACCCAACGGCACCGTCTCGAGGACCAAGGGTCAGCCACTATGGTCTCATTCTCCCAGGAGAGGCTGGCACCACGAAGGGCATCCTTGCTGCCTCAGGGGATGCGACCCTGCTACCAGGCCTCCCCGTGCCACCTCCTGAGCAGACCAGCACAGCTGGCACCGGGAGGGCGCACCCACGGGGGCTGACGTTTTCTAATGCAGATGCAGGGATCTTCTCCTGCAGAGTCCTCCACTGCCGCCTGTCAACGCTCGGCAGTCACCACACTCCTCCCATGAGCCCCCAGAGCGATCGCAGGATGTCACCGTGGGAGCTAAACAGACTGCCTGGCAGCTTTGGCGACAGCGCTTGGGTTCTGAGGCGCTGACTGAAGGTGGTGTGGGAGGAAAACATCTTGGGTCGAGGCATAAATACACAAGTCTCGCATCTCCATGGCAGGGGGGATTTTCTGGTCTAAGCACCTGAGGGGCCACCGGAGGGAGCCGACTCCCACCTCTGTGTTGTGCAGTATGACAGGAACGAGGTGCAGAGCATGCACCCCAAACAACGGCGAGGTGACACGTCAGCACATGCATGGGATGTGGACTGGGGACAAATGTCAGGAGCTGGACGGGAAAGCAGAGACCCCAGACCAGGGCTTCAAAGTTCGTTCCAAAAGCAATGCGTGAGAGGTGCAGAATGGAGGGAGGTGCACCCTGTAAGAATGTTAGCTCTTGCTTTTGTTTTTGTATGGGGACAGGGCAGAGACCTCTGAGAATTTTTTTTTTTTTTTTACCTGGGATCGAACTCAGGTCCTTGTACTTGCGAGGTAGGTGGCAGAATCACTGAGCTAAATCCCTGGCCCTATCTCTGAGCATTTGACTGAGGCTGTGAACCTGCCCTGCTAACCCACCTTCTCCTTTGGCCCCTCAAACAGCAACAGAAAATTTCGTAAAATTTCAAGGGCTTATCAACCACCTAACATGGAAACAGACCACCAAGGAGCCTCTGAACCCAGAGGTGAGACACCTAATTAAAGGGTTAGGAACCGATTCCAGGTTACAACGTATTTATTGGTTCTGCAACACATGAAAAGCAAGGATCACACAGGTTCCTGCTCAGAAGCCCACGGTAAAGTTGGCCAGAAACCATGGCTTCTTTTCAGCCTGAAGGTAACATCTCGGGCACAGAAAAAGCAACTGGGGCTCTGGGGATGGAGGGAAGGGCTCTAGGGGGATTTCATCAAAACACCCAAAGGTCCCTCATTGGCACCCACGTGGCACGGAATCCACAGCCACCAACAAGGACAGGAGGGGAGGCTGACTTCCCAGCCCCAGCCATCTGTTTCGAGCTTGCTTGCTTGCTTTCTTTCTTTCTTTCTTTCTTTCTTTCTTTCTTTCTTTCCTTCTTTCCTTCTTTCCTTCCTTCCTTCCTTCCTTTCTTTCTTCTTTCTGTGGGACTGCAAAACCTTCTAATCTTAGAATTCTTGTAGCCCTGACTGCAATTAAATGTGAGCTAATGATTAAGAAGCTTGTTAGTTCTGGGAAGCTAGATAAAATTTGTAACAGACATAGAGTTTTAAAGGTAAATTACTCAACTCCTTGTTTGCCCGGAGAATGGACGTTCCCGGACCCACTATCTGTAGGACAATCCATCAATGTGTGTGCCAACCATCAGTACGGGACAGTCGACCACTAACCCTTGTTTCTTTTCTCTTAAATCTACATGTTAACTTCCCCCTCAACCCCCTATAAAAACAGCCCCGGACTCTGAGCCAGTTGCCTCTCTAAGCTATTTTGCTTTGGGGGTGCCGTCTGGCCAGACTAATAAAGGCCTGTTTTACTTTCCAACTTGTCCGGTGTGTTCCCTCCCGGGTGTTCTTCGCTGCAGTCAGCTCCTCGGAGCGTTTGGTAAAGCCCTCGGTCTTACATTTTGGAGGCACCGCTGGGATCCCTGGGTGTGCTTCACTGCAGTCAGCTCCTCGGAGTGTTTGGTAAGGCCCACGGTCTTACATTTCCTTCTTTCTTTCTTTCTCTCTCTCTCTCTTTCTTTCTTTCTCTTTCTTTCTTTCCTTTCCTTTCCGTTCCTTTTCCTTCCTTCCTTTCTTTCTTTCCCAGTATCAGGGATTGAACTCGGGACCTTGCACTTGTGAGGCAGGTGGCAGAACCACTGAGCTAAATCCCCGGCCCACAAGCATTTTCTCTTATCTCTCAAGGTGGTTCTCGAGTATTACTTTTATTAAACCCCGATTTTTTTTTGAGATAGGGTTTCACTGTGTCATTCAGGCTGGTCTTGAACTCACTACGTAGCCCAGGCTGGGCTCACACTCACCGCAATCCTCCTGCCTCAGCCTTCCAAGTGCTGAGATCACAGGTGTGTGCCATCACCACACCTGGCTTCAACTCTTAATTAAGTACAGAGTTTCTGACATTATATGATTGACTGAGAAGAAGGCAGCAATTTATATTTCTGCTCCCTACTGGAGTCCGACGACCATCTTGTGGAAAGGCACCTGTGTGATTGTTGGCATCATAAACTGAACTTGCTACTTTTTATTTTCTTGGAATACTTTTTTTTTTTTACTTCAAAGAACAGCTTTAGACAAGAGTGGTTATTTAGACTTCAGCCTTTGGCAGATATTTTATAGAAAAGAATGAAGCAAGCTTGTCACTTCTTGGAAAACAGTGTTTGTTGCCAATGATAAAATCTGAGCTTTCAAGCAAAATTTAGAATTCTGGAAAACAGAAAGCTGCCCGGAGTGTGACAGCTTCTCAACACAATGCATCTCTGACGAGCCCGGTGGGAATATTAACAATTGTGGTTTTAAATATGGTTTGTTGGACTGAGGGAACTTTGGGAAGACCTGTGCCACTTAGTGAACCAAAATTTTCCAAATGACTAACTACGATGTTTTCACAGCTAGGCATGGCTAAAAGTCATTGAAAAGGCAAATAAACCAGTGGATTTTAATGTGACGGAATATGTAAAGTTCACCAACATGACTTCAAACTATCGTCCAGGACAATATCACTTCGGGATTTGTTTTTTTTTTTTTTGGTACCAGGGATCGAACTCAGGACCTTGCACTTGTGAGGCAGGCAGTGGAACCACTGAGCTACATCCCCGGCCCCATGAGTTTTAATGCTGAATCAAAGAATATCCCTACTGACCTGAAAGGGTTACTGAAATCCTCTTCCTTTTCCAATTACACATCTGTGCAAAGCTTTGTCCATGGCGACATACTTTACCGAAGACACACAGACTGAATTCAGAAGCGTATCTGAGAATCCAGGTGTCTTCTATAAATCCAGATACGAGTGAGATTTGCAAAAAAAAATATGAAATGCGCCGGGGATTTAGCTCAGTGGTTCTGCCGCCTGCCTTGCAAGCACAAGGTCCCGAGTTTGATCCTCGGTACCAAAAAAAAAA